TTCCTGTCATTGTGCAATGCATACTGGGAAGGATCCTCCGAAAAAGTGAGCATCAAACCGCCATGTTTGATTTCCCAGTGGGATGCATCTGTTGTCAAAGTCTTTTGAACCATATCCCTTTTGTTTCTGGTTCTGATATTGTCATATTTAGGATTTGTAATTGTGTCGTTGTTGGATGTCCTAACAGCAGAAAACGGCTCAAGAAATGGGTTTCGGAGGTTTGCAAACTCCATAAGTGCAAAAGGGAATCAGATCTGTGTGACTGCAAACCTCCGTTCAAACTGTTTCCCTTCCCAATGGAATTGACTGTGAAGTCAAACATGGCAGTTTGATGCTCACTTTTTTTGGAGGATCCTTCCCAGTATGCATTGCATGATGACCGGAAGTCCGAAATTCTGGATGCATGTATTGCTGCTATTTGGTCATGACGTATGTAATGCGTCGCTGACAGGGCTATCTGGTATATTAAGCATTTCCCAAGTCCACTAGGAAGAAGTGCAATAACGTCTTTCCCCTTGATAAAATTCACCAAACATTTTCTTTGTTTTGACTTTAAATCCTTGATTTCCTTGAATCGTTGCGAACACAAAATGTATGGTTTCATCTACATCCATCTCAACCGCTTTGTTTACTGTTGTGCTGTACCACAAAAAGGACTCAGAGACACTTGAGTTTGACGTCATGGCTTTACAGCTCTTCACTGATTGGCTGGTGCTCGGTTCTAGTGTATTTTGATTCCTGACCTAGTCACTGGAGAGAAATGAAATTGAGTGGAGGCACTAGGTGGCGCTACTCTGGCTAAGGTTTACTGCCTTATAAAAATTGTACTACGACATCATATGGGTCACGTTTTAACACTGAATTATAAAATAGCCTACATCTCCTTTACCAATAACTCTCTTCATTAAAAATAAATAAATTCATGCCCCCCCACAGTCACACATACATATATTACCCTAACGCAGTATACAGTAGTAAGTGGAGTCCACCTGTTGGGAGTGTGTGGGGAGCAGATGTGCTGAGTGTGTGCTTTGGCCAGCCTAACCCCTCTGTTGTGCGCCTCATTCACAGTGATTAGCCCATAGCCGCGGGCCCAGGCTCATATAGACCTGTATAGAGACCGGACCAGGCGCGGGTTTTGCTGTTGCAGCGAATCTCCAGCTCCACAGACTGACAGTGACCTATCAGAGGCTCCCACTCACCTGCCAACATCCTCTACTGCACAAATGTATACAGACACATTTATATAGGGTAAGATACAGTATGTGCACTTACCTGATGAGAGAATGTATGTTCTTATTTCAAGTTAAAGGGCCCATACTATCGCATTTTCTGATCTACTGTAAGTTATAATGTTGTTTCCTCATCACAGACATACCTGGAGTTTGTGTTTTGGATCATTTCAGCCCTGGAATTCCCGATCTCAACTAAAGAAAAGGTAAAAGGTAGATGTTAACTTGAAAATGATCACTTCCTGACATCATGACAACATGTATTTAGGGCTTCCATGGCGTATTTTATTCAATGTGGTGACCATTGTTTTATATCATGAATAAAAAAAGGCAAGACAAGTTTATTTGTACAGCACAATTCATACGCAAAGTAATTTAGTGCTTTACAGAATAAGAAATACATTAAAATCACACAAAAAATAAAAAAAGCATTATAATTAAAGATTCAAATTAAAAAAGAGAGACATTAATTACATAAATTAGAGAGTAGCCCCAACCCTCGCAGCATTAGGATTCGTTCGCTCGACAGTAGGTGGGTACTTTTTTTTATTTAACTAATCGATGCTATTTGGTCGTGACGCATGTAATGCACCGCTAACGGGGCAAACTGGTAAGACAAAGCAAGGAAAGTTTATTTGTATGGGACAATTCGTACACAAAGTAATTCAAAGTGCTTTACAGAATAAGAAATACATTAAAATCACAATAAAAACAAATCAACACATAAATAATATCATAAAATTAAAAAGAGAGACATTAATTACATATATTAGAGAGAAGAGTGCGAAATGAAAACCTTTCAGTCATATGCACAGTTAAACAGAAATGTTTTGAGCCTGGATTTAAACAGAGTCAAAGAAGAGTCTGTCTCACATGTTCAGGAAGGTTGTTCCAGGTTTTAGCTGCGTGAACCTGAAACGCTGACTCCCCTTGTTTAGTCCTGACTCTGGGCACCAGCAGGAGGCCGGTCCCTGAGGTCCTCAGAGTGCGAGATGGTTCATAAGACACTAACATGTCACAGATGTACTTTGGTGCTCGGCCATGGAGAGACTTGTACACACAAGCAGAGCTGCTGTAAAGTCTATTCTCTGAGCCACAGGAGCCAGAGTAGAGACCTGAGCACAGGACTTATGTGTTCGTACTTCCTAGTTCGAGTCAGGACCCGAGCTGCAACGTTCTGGATGTTCTGAGTTTGTTTGGAGAGGCCAGTGAGCAGACCATTACAGCAGTCTAACCTACTGGAGACAAACGCATGGATAAGTCTCTCCAAGTCTGCTTTAGATAGTATACCTTTGATTTTTGCTATGTTTTTTAAATGCAATTTGAGTTGACACATCTCATCACAAATGCTGCAACTTGTTTGGAAATGGGACTCTTGTATTAGTTTAGTGAACAATATTCCAATCGTCTCTGAAATGTTAGTGCATGTGATAAAAAGTGCACTCACTGAACTGAAACCTAATATAACAAAAAAAGATAAACAATATTTTATGGAGTTCAATATTACACTTGAACATTTTATGGAGAGCTTTTTATTCATTTACAGCTGAAAAGTGTTGAAGAATTCACTCACCAGAGACTCATTATAGATACTAACTAACTAAATATAATACGTTTTAATTAGACTATAGTTATTGCGGATCCATGTTGTTGTGCTTTTTCTGGGATTTTCAATGTTATTATGTCAGTGGCATTAAATAATCTTTAATTATATCATTTATTGCAATGTATTCTGAAGCAAAATGGTTCTCTTCAAAATATGATATTATGACAAAACTAAGCAAAATAACATTCTTACTTACTGCATTATATTTTACTGCCTGAGACGCCATAAAAACACGTGAATGATGAATGTTTATTTATCTGAAACAATAATATTAAATAATCTTACAGCTGTAATAAATAAAAAACATACACTTTGCCCTGCACTGATTGGTTATCTAGTGGTTTTATGATGTGTGACTTGCAGTTCACTGATAACAGGCCCCAGAGTCGAAACTTCTGAAACTTCCGCAGCTCCCTTTTTAAAGCTTCTAGTCAATGAGTCGTGTTTGTTTTAGAAAATTATCTGAAACAACAAAGGATTTAAGATGCTACCGACATAGCTGAAGTCTAGAAGGAATAAGATATTTTACGAAAGTTAAAATAAAAGTTGCTTTCATTTTAACTCGCTTATAAAAGGTGGGTGACGTGTTTTTTTATTTATTTTTTTATTCAGTGTGTACACATGAGCTCAAGAATCCCAGTTATAACTTTTTTTTTTTTTTTTTTTTTGAGTATCCTGGTGTATGTCCATGTAAATGCAGTATCCTGTTTTCAGAATCCTGGTCTGGATAAGGCGGTATCCCGATGGTGAGAAATCGGGAGACTCTCACTGGGTTTTTCTGAGATTATCCTGGAACCTGTGGCATATAGACGCAATATCCTGATTTCTTAAAACTGGTGTTGTACTGAGCGTGTGCAAACTGAAGTAACGGTAACACTTTATAATAACTACACCTTACTTAGCCTTAATAAAGCATGAACAAAGACTTAATTAATAATGAACAAAGATTTAATTAATAATGATTCACTCTTAGTAAATGCTTAATAAAGCATAATTTGTCTTCACTTTAGAAAAGCTCTCAAAAAGACTTAACTAACAGATAACAGCTGCCTGAATTATCATTGCATTGCATTATTAGTAAATCATTCTCTCATAGCTTACTAATCATTAATAAATGCTCAAATAGTTAGTCCATAAGTAATTAAGTATGAAATAATTATGATTAACTATTTACAGCACAGGCAAATGAAATGCAAGTGTGAATTAAGGTAGTAATTAAGTAGTTACTAAGCATGAATCATTATTAATTAAGCCTTTGTTCATGTTTTATTAAGGCTAAATAAGATGTAGTTATTATAAAGTGTTACTGAAGTAACAAGCTGTTATTTTTTCCCCTCCCAAAAAACTCAAACTCCTACCAGGACACTTTAAGTAATAATATGTCACATGTATAAACAAAATAAAATGGTACACTGTTAACACTGGACTCACTTCTGTGTCTGTTTGTGTTGCTTTAGCTCAAAACTGACGCTGTGTGAGCTCCGTGGTCTGATATTCTTACCTGAATTGTCCTTTTTTAAAATTGAAAACGATCTAACTTTTTTGGTAGACGGTCCAGCATCTGTTTGTCTTCATCGAAATTTTCCATAATTTGGCTTAAACTTATCTATCCCTATATATACAAGTATGTGACACCACCAGGCCAAGTTATAGTTCAGATCTGTGGAAAGGCAAGCCCACTCATAGTTTAAATGTGTACTTTTCAAGGTATTTCTGACTAATAAAATACTATGTAATAAAACTCAATGCAAGATAAATTAATTTAATGCCATACAGTGGAGCATTCAAAGCAAAAACATCTTCATGAGACAAGCAGATGACAGATCCTCCACTAGGAAAGCTATACCTTGCCACATCTGTGCTATAGTTACCATCGCAACTACTCTAAATACTCATGATACTCTGATGGCGCATCTACACAGGGATATGAGTATCGTGTTTTCTCTGAGCGCATGTAAACACCACATCCAGAATACCGTAACGAACCTGGATACTTGAGCTAACGTAAACTCACTCACTTGTTTCCTTGTATCTTTCTGTAAATGAAAACTCGGATACACCCAGAGTTATGACTGTCCAAAGGCCAAGGCGACGCTCAGGTTTTTCAGACGGCACACTGTACGTTTTTCCACCAGAGCGCGGATGGACCAGCCAATGCTAAAATGAACCACGCTCTAGCTCTTACTCTCCTGCTGGGCCTCTGCTGCTCGGCCTGGGCCCAGACTGAGTTGGAAACCAGAGCCAGGGAGTTTCTCAAGAAGTTCGATGAACAAGCGTCAGCGCTGATGTACAACTATTCTCTAGCGTCATGGGCATATAACACTGACATCTCTCAGGAAAATGCCAACAAAGAGGTTAGATTTGAAAATTTGCTTTATTGTACTTTCAGGACCTAATATTTGTATTACTTATTTATTTTTACTTATACATATACATTTTATATAATTATGCCTTATTTGACACCAGTCTCTTGTTATTTTTGCTACCTATTATTACCATTTATATTTTTGCTCTTTGTTATTATAATATATTGTGATGTGTGAGCTACTGTGTTCAAATAATTTCCTCTGTGGATCAGTAAAGTTAAAGTCGAAGTCTAAGTTTTCTTGGTAGATAGATCTTTTGTACGGTTAGAATTTACATGAAAGTAGCAGACATCAAAATAGCATTGGCTTACTAATAATCTGGTTACAATAAATTCACTGTTACCTAAAAAAATACATGATTTCATGATATTTGTCTTAAAAACAAATGTGCCTGGTATTCCTGTCTGTATGTAAACTAAGGAAGTAAGTAGAGTTTGCATGTTCTCTCAGTGTCGTGGTGGGTTTCGTCATGAAGTCTTAAGAATAGTTATTATAGATAACTACTGTTTACTGTCGAGGGAAACAAGAATTCTTTGCGTAGGTCCAACTATGTTTTTGTTGTGCAGGTTTCTAAATCTTTGGAATTTTTTCATCGCAAAATTTTCCTCCTCTACCAAAAAAGTAAAAAACAAGTATTAAAAGTACAGAATTAATGCTGGAGTCCTGCATTGTGTCATGTACTCGACTATTAGGATCAATATTGTCTGGATTTGAAAGATTACAGTGAAAAATATGGCACGCACATTTGCAATTTATAACCCATGAATTCGAGATGTATTTTGTGAAAGCTCATTTTTAATTTTTGATGAAAGATTTCTTAGAATTTGTTATGTTTTGTATTTCTAATAATAATTTGCTGTTTCTTTATTTCAGTCTGAACAAGGTGCCCTATGGGGAGCATTCTACGCTGAAATGTCGGCAGAGTCCGCAAACTTTCCAATAGATCAAATCAAAGACCGAGAAATCAAACTGCAGCTTATCTCCCTCCAGGACAAAGGCTCGGGGGCGCTGTCTCCGGACAAACAGGCTCATGTAAGGACACACATTGATATATTTATTAAAGGTGAAACGATTTCCAAGTCTCACGATACGATATCGTCACGGTATGAACCTCACGGTACGATATTTATTGCGATATCATGGGAAAGCTCATGATATGGTGGGGAGGCTCACGATTAAGGATGTAACAATATTCAAATCTCTCTGTACGATATTTTCACAATACAGATCTCACGGTACGATATTTATTGCGATATGCTGTGGAGACTAACAAAACTGTTAACTGTTTTTACTCTTAAAAAGCCTTGACAAGACTTAATCCAAAGAACTAAGACTTAAAAGTGCTTAGAACTGTTATTTCTTCTTGTAGTCTACACTGAAATGGAGCAAAGGATCATGGTCTATGTAGTTCCCTCTGTCTTTTTTTTTTTTTTTTTTTTTAGCTATTGCTGCACCATAACTCTTAATTTAAGCAAAGAGACTTGTAATTCAATATATTGTGATGGTCCACGATATTATTGTGAGAACTTTGACGATACGATATCATGATATTTCGGTTATTGTTACATCCCTACTATTTATGAATTCTTTTATACCATGAAGTTTGAAGCATTAGTGGCAAAGCAAGTCATGTCATGTCAAGTATTTCTTATATCTTGTATAGTCTTTTTTACATTTCGCCACTTGTCAGTTTGCAATGTCACCAAATTATTCTAACACTGACGATTTATGAAAAATTTAGGACACAAATTATGCAAAGTTAACTTTTTTTGAGCTCTTAAGCATGTTATGGTGTCCCTTGATACTATGGTGTACCAAATACTCACCTCGAGTTGTATTTTGATTCATTCACACGTTTCACGAATCCATTAAAATGCTCTGTAAGAATTTTGCTCAAATTGTTGCGTAATATGTGTTCTCTCAGGTTTCAATTTATTATTTGAAATGTAGTGGCATAGTGTCTAGTCTCCCTTCTCACAACAAGGAGGTGTCAGGTTTTATTCCTGGACCATGTTGGGCATTTCACTGTGTTAATTTCTCCTGAGATAGTCCTATTATTACTATAATTACCATGCATGTTCCTATTGAGGATTTTGATGTTGCTGTTTTGTTATGTCATGAATACAAAGGTCGTGAATTATGTTAAAATATTGCGATGACATGGTTTATACTTTTATCACCTGTTATTAGTTCTTGATAAGACTAATTTGACACTTAAATATTTACAGTGCTTGAAGTGTTTAATTCAGCATTATTACTTCTTCATGGTGTTTATTTCACCCAGATGCACGATAAATTTTGACTCTTAGTTATTACATCTTTTTTTTTTTTTTTCTGTATTACACGGTTATTACGGCTCCATTCCTGCTTCACAGTGCTCATTTCTTCCTTATATTTTAGCATGAAGGTGTTTCATTTTGCAGTTGTGTTGTGTTGTGTTGTGTGTCTTCAGCTCAGGAGGGTCATGAATGAGACTTAAAGTTAAAGCCACAGTATGTAACTTTTTGAAATAATAACTAAATATAACACTTTTTTTTTCCAGTTTGGTTTCGTTTATTGCAGTGTGAATACAACAGCTATTATTGCTCTATTTCTGCTTCATATGGCTGATTTGTGCGTTATATTTTGTCAGTGAGGTGTTTAATATCGCAGATGTGTTGTTAAAATACAGTTATTACATATGTTATTACTTTATTACATAGTATGGTTATTACTACAGTATTCCTGCTCTACTCTACTACTTCATATATCTGATTTTCACTTTATATTTAGCAGTAATTCTTCCTTATATTTTGTCAGTGAGGTGTTTGAAGTTGAAGTTTTGCAGTTGTGTTGTTAAAATACAGTTATTACATGGGTTATTACATTATTACATGCATGTACTTGATTTTCGCCTTTTATTTTAGCAGTATTTCTCCCTTATATTTTAAGAGTGAGGTGTTTAATATTGCAGTTGTGTTGTGTCTTGTGTCTTCAGCTCGGCAAGGTCATGAATGAAATGTTCGTTATAATATTACAAAATCTGTTATTACTTTATTACATGGTTATTACCGCTCTATTCCCGCTTCATATACCCAATTTGCCCCTTATATTTTTGCAGTATTCCTCCCTTCCATTAACAGGGAGGTGTTTAATCTCGCATTTGTGTTGTGTCCTGTGTCTTCAGTTGGGGAAGGTCATGAATGAGACGTTTGAATATGGTTTATTATTTTATTACATGGTTATTACAGCTCTATTCTTGCTTCGTATGGCTGATTTCTCCCTCATATTTTCCAGTGAGATGATTAATATACATTTTTCTATTGTTAAAATTATGTTATTACATAAATTAATACTTTAATTACATGACATGGTTATTACTACTGTATTACTGCTCTATTCCTGCTTCATATACCTGATTTTCTCCCTTATATTTTCAGAGTATTTGCCCCTTCTATTAACAGTGAGGTGTTTAATATTGCTCTTGTGTTGTGTCCTGTGTCTTCAGCTGGGGAAGGTCATGAATGAGATGTTTGAAAATGATTTATTACTTTATTACATGGTTATTACAACTCTGTTCTTGCTTCACATACCTGATTTCTGCCTCATATTTTTCCAGTGAGATGTTTAATATATGTTTTTCTATTGTTAAAATAATGTAATTACATAAATTAATACTTTAATTACATGACATGGTTATTACTACTGTATTACTGCTCTATTCCTGCTTCATATACCAGAATTTCTCCCTTATATTTTCAGAGTATTTGCCCCTTCTATTAACAGTGAGGTGTTTAATATTGCTCTTGTGTTGTGTCCTGTGTCTTCAGCTGGGGAAGGTCATGAATGAGATGTTTGAAAATGATTTATTACTTTATTACATGGTTATTACAACTCTGTTCTTGCTTCACATACCTGATTTCTGCCTCATATTTTTCCAGTGAGATGTTTAATATATGTTTTTCTATTGTTAAAATAATGTAATTACATAAATTAATACTTTAAATACATGATATGGTTATTACTAGTGTATTCCTGCTCTATTCCTGCTTCATATACCAGAATTTCCCCTTATATTTTCACAGTATTTGCCCCTTCTATTAACAGTGAGGTGTTTAATATTGCTCTTGTGTTGTGTCCTGTGTCTTCAGTTGAGGAAGGTCAAGAATGAGATGTTTGAAAATTATGTTTGAAAATGGTTTAATACTTTATTACATGGTTATTACAACTCTGTTCTTGCTTCATGTACCTGGTTTCTCCCTCATATTTTTCTAGTGAGATGTTTAATATATGTTTCTGTAATGTTAAAATAATATTATTACATTGATTAATACTTAAATTAGATAACACGGTTATTACTAGTGTATTACTGCTCTATTCCTGCTTCGTATACCAAATTTTCCCCTTATATTTTTGCAGTATTTCCCCCTTCCATTAACAGTGAGGTGTTTAATATTGCTCTTGTGTTGTGTCCTGTGTCTTCAGCTGGGGAAGGTCATGAATGAGATGAGTACGATCTACAGCACCGCCACCGTGTGTCTCCCTGACGACCCTTTTAACTGCCAGACGCTGGAGCCAGGTACCTCTCAGCATAATCACTCTGAGCGAAGGGCACACTACACAGGGACAGCATTCAAAGAGGGGGCGCAGGAGGATATACCGGCATTTATTTGGTCATGTTTTAGTTTATTTTTAGATTTAAAGGCGCGCTGTGTAACTTTTCTGGTAGAGTGGGCCCTCTCACCTGTTTGTCTCCATGGAGATGTTTGTGCTTTCTCAAGGATATTCCTTAGTATTGCTTTAAAACTAGATGTTTTCGTGGACTCAAGGTGTTGCTTAGCCTGATTCATGAACACTTTCAGGAGCACAGTTTCACTTTGTAGAAACTGTCTGACCTCTCAGCATTAAGATTCATTCGCTTGACGGTAAACACTAACTAACGGGACTAACTAATGTATAAGTTTAAGCTTTTCCCAAATTCCGTCTTTCCCCTTCATAAAATTCACCGAATGCTCTTTATTCCAGCTTTAAATCCTAGATCTTGGGAATCGTTGCCAACACAGAATGTATGGCTCTTCGCTGATTGGCGAATCAATCAATTAAGAACTTTCAGGTAGATTCAACTTGACTACCAATGCAATAGGATTTCTTGTCTAAATTAAAGCCTTTGTTTTTTTGTTTTTTTTAGTGCAAAGAGTGTTTTCTTAATTACAAAAACTGTTGTGTCCATCTATTTCTAGAGATAATTTTACTTGTCAAGTGAAATTTACAAGCCTGATTCATCAGCCAGTTTCACTTCGTGGAAACCGTCTGACCTTGCAGCATTAGGATTCGTTCGCTCAATGGTAGGCGGCTACTTTTTAATTTAACCAATCGCTGCTATCTGGGCGTATGTAATGCGTCAAATCCCATAGGAAGAAGGGCAATAACGTTTTTCCCCTTGATAAAATTCACCAAACATTCTCTTTGTTCCGGGTTTAAATCCTTGATCTTGAGAATCGTTGCCAGCACAGAATGCATGGCTCTTCGCTTATGCCCGAACTCGCACTTCCGGGGTTTTTGCGAAATCGTCTCGTGTATTCTGATTCCTGACCTAGTCGCTGGAGAGAAATGAAATCCAAATCCATGGAGAAAAACAAGTGATGGGTAGATACTTAAGGCAGCTCATTTTTATTGTACGAATTCCATCTTTGATTGTTTTACCCCTGGATTCTTTGTTTTAAAAATATCATATGAAAAACAATGACTTAAGTAAAAGTACCCATTTCAAAATGTACTTAAAGGGTAAAAAGTAAAAGTATTTCATACAGATCTTGGGATCTAATAAAGCTTCAAATGTGGTGATTTTGATACAGGTTTGTGCTGAATTTTGTTGGGTAATTCTTTTCCTAGATGTATTTATTTGTTATATTTGTGTTTGCTCAAGTTATAAACATGTTAAAAATACTACTACAAACTATCATAAAAATACTTTTACTTTTCAGTTCTGTACAAAAATGTAGTGAAGTAGAAAGTTCAGATACATGCTCTCAAATGAAATAAAAGTAAAAGTATAAAGTATCCAGTTTAGGTCCGTGTACCATTCATTCTTTTGAATTTTGAGAAATGGTAAAACTGTTTGTTAGTTAATTTTTCGTGTTTTAGTGTCAAACAAAAGAAGAGATTTTGACCTCTGTTTCCAATATTTAATTTAAAGTTTATTTCAAATACCACAAATCAAAAAAACAGTCTCAGTGCCTATTTTAATTTTGATATTTTATTTTCTCTTTCTAAGACACGAAAGAAAATGTTTCGCTTTAAAAAAAGAGAGTATGTCCAGAATGTTTGTCCACAAAATTACCAACAATTTTTCAGGTAAGTCCTTCTAGCAGCAGAACTTCATATAAACCAAAGAGAATAAAATATCAAAAATTAAAATATGCACTGAGACCATTTTTTTTGATTGGTGTGATTTGAAATAAACTTTAAATAAAATGTTGGAAATAGAGGTCAAAATCTAAAACAGAATAATGACAACTGTTTTTCGTTCTCATTTGAAATTCAAAAGAACAAATGGTACATGGACCTGTTTAGAATTAGAAAAAGACAGACACAAATTTGCACTTTACTAATTTGACTTCATTATTGGTTAAAAAGTCACCTTCTAGACTTATCTCATCTTACACCATGAAATAAAGTTCACAGCAACTAGGTCCCTTCGCAGCCTACTATCTAGTACTAAGTGTTGTTTATCTGTCCATCCTCAGGTTTGGAGGAGGTCATGTTCTACAGTAAAGATTATTATGAGCGGCTGCATGTCTGGGAGGGCTGGAGACAGGAAGTGGGTAAAAGGATGAGGACGCTGTATGAAGACTACGTAGATCTGAAGAACGAAGCAGCCAAACTCAACGGTAACAATCACACATAATTTAAAAAAAACCTGTTAAAATTATGCAAATGTGCAGATCTATACTTATCAGGTCTATTCCAGGACTAAACCAGGTCTAAACCAGGTCTAACCCATGACTATACCAGGACTAAACCAGGTCTAACCCATTACTATTCCAGGACTAAACCAGGTATAAACCAGGTCTAACCCAGGACTATACCAGGTCTAACCCAGGACTGTACCAGGACTAAACCATGTCTATCCCAGAACTAAATCAGGTCTATCCCAGGACTAAACCAGGTCCAACTCAGGACTAATCCAGGGCTAAACCAGGACTAAACTGGGTCTAACCCAGGACTAAACCAGGTCTATCCCAGAACAAAACCAGGTCTAACCCAGGACTAAACCGAGTCTAATCCAGGACTAACCCAGGACTAAACCGGGTCTAATACAGGACTAAACCAGTTCTAATCCAGGACTAAACCAGGTCTAAACCAGGTCTAAACCAGGTCTAACCCAGAACTAAACCAGTTCACACCCAGGACTAAACCAGGTCTAATACAGGACTAAACAATTTCTTACCCAGGACTAAACTAGCTCTCAGCCTGGACTAAACCAGGACTAAACCAGGTCTAACCCAGGTCTAAACCAGGTCTAAACCAGTCTAACCCAAGACTAAACTAGGGCTAACGCAGGACTAAATCAGGTCTAACCCAAAATGAAAACAGGCCAAACCCAGGACAAGACCAGGTCTCACCCAGGATTAAAGTAGGTCTATCCCAGGACTAAACCAAGTCTAACCCAGGTCTATCCCAGGACAAAACCAGGTCTTTCCCAGGACTTAACCCGGTCTAACTCAAGCCTAAACCAGGACTAACCCAGAACTAAATCAGTTCTATACCAGGACTAAAACAGGTCTCACCTGGGACTAAACCAAGTCTAATGAACTATAGTTTATATTAGATCAAAAACAAACACTCAAACCAAAACTTTATTCAGGATTACTCATACATGAATCTACAGAAATACAACAATACAACTTTGAGTGGGATAATGAGGAAATTCTGTCTAAAATCTAAAAGTGGACTGCCTTTTGCAATTACATAAATAAGTTACTAAATCAATATTATGTGCTCAAATCTAAATAATAGTTCAGTTAGGGCTATTGTAAAGTCTGTAGAGCTCAGTGAATAGAAAACAATTGGTCTCAACAGTGAACCAGCCCTTGACCTTTGACCTTGGATTATTCATTTACATAACCCGACCGTGTTTCCTGCTGCACTTACGGAGACAGAGATATAGACACAGATGTAACATATATAAAGGGAGGATGTTTTTATAATATTGACACAGTGTTTTGTACAATTTGTACGTTTGTAGAGTTAAAGGTTCTATACTAGCCAAGTTATAATTTTGTTACCTCTTCAAAAACAAACCTGGAGTTGTGTTTTGTTTCATTCACAGATGTTTTGAGTAATGCTGCATTATTAAGCTCAAAATCTCAAAGTGTTCTGTTCCACCTTGTGAGGTCTTGTAGGGGCACTTTTTACCTTTTGTTCCGTAGACATTGGCAAGTCCAGGGCTGAAATTATCCAAATGATTCTAATTAAGATGTATGGAGTTTAAAAACACAGAGGAGGACTTCCTGCATCACCACCTGACATCACAAGGTGGAACAGAGTGTATTTTGTTTGAGAGAAGAACTCATTCTCACTATGCAGGATTTAGTGAATGAAAAAAACACAACTCCAGGTTTGTTTGTGATGAGGAAACATTATTACATAGATAAAATGTTTCAAAGGGAAAAAATGCAAGAAATGTGTTTCAAGCACAGACAGAAACAATGACTAAATATTGGATTGTGGATTTCAACTTCCTGTTACATGCGACATTTTGAGGACGTTTTTTCCTCATTCAAAAGACAGGAAATTGATATTTTGATATTGATAAACTCTATGGCAACTGTTCTGATTTGACATGGTTCTGAAACCCATGGATAGTCCAAAAGCACAACAATAGCTGCATTCAAACTTGAGCCCGGTTTAGTCCTGATGTAGACTTGGTTTGGTCCAGTTGTAGTCCTGGTTTAGTTCTGGTGTAGTCCTGATTTAGGCTACGTTTATATGATGACGGTCTGAACAGAAGACGGAAAAGTGGTGTTGCGTCTTCACTTTTTATTTTGCGTTCAGATGAGTGTTTTCGGGAGGAAATCTGCATGCGTACGGTGACGCAAAAGTGTGTAGAATTCGATTGGGTATGCATGCCAGGCAGCTCGGTGATGACGCTAGGTGGTGATGTCTGTGACGTAAACGCGTACACGACATGAGCAGATCTGACCAGAGTTTTGCATCTTCGGCAGTGTAGATGGAAACGCTATGACAGAATATATTCAACTTTTCCACTCTGAAGGGTAGTTTCAGATTTTCGCGTTTTAATTCCCCAAAACGCTGTCACCGTCTAAACCAGGCATGTCCAAACTATGGCACGGGGGCCAAATGTGGCCCTCAGACAAATTTTTCTTGGCCCTCAGACGTTCAGGTGAATTGGCCGAAATTACACTGCATCAATAAAAAATACTTTTTGCTGCAAGTTTTTTGAAAATCTACCTTGATAAAGTTCATATTTAAAATTTAGTGTGTGGTTTTAAGGATCTTAGCAGGAATAAAGACTGATGGCTCATTGTAACGTGCCAAACATGCACATATTTCATCTATTCTCTTTCTTGAGCACCAGTCTACGGGCCCTTGATTGGCCCTCTGCTTTGTCTGTGTTTAGATATGTGGCCCTTGATTTAAAAAGTTTGGACACCCCTGGTCTAAACGAAAGGCACTTCCGATAAAATATTTTTTTCATTTTTACCCACAATTGTTCTCATGTAAACAGGCCCTTAGTCCCAGTTTTGATTTTATGTGTTTTTGTGTTAGAGATATCATTTCAATAAAAAAAATAAAACAAAGAGAAATGATTTGCATTAAAATGTTGTCACAAATACTGAGTCTTTGTAAACAAGATAAAAAAGTGTTTATATTAGGTGACAAGTAATTTATGATAACCTTGATATGTAACTGGGGGTCTCTTCTAGCACCATCCAAGGACAAACAAGAGGAGAATCTGAATCCCAAACCGCTGAACATTCCAGGAAAAGCAATAACAAACAGGCGCTAAGAAAAATCCATGTTATAATGCTGTTTCCTCATCAAAAACATACCATGAGTTGTGTGTCATGTGGCAATACAGGAAGAGCTCTATTGTGTTTTTAAACTCCATACACCTTCACTAGAATCATTTGGATAATTTCAGCCCTGGAATTGTCAATATCTACTCATTAAAAGGTAAAAGCTGTGAACTTGAAAACTATTAATTCATGACATCACAAGTAAATGCTGCGTAATATAAAACCTTTAACAATTACGATGCAAATAGATCAATATAGATCACGGTATGGGGTGTGCAAAAATATATCGAAATATCGATATATCGTATTGTTTAATGTGATGATGCAGTATGAATGTCGTGGGCTGCTGTATCTATATTTCACCAAGAGTATTTTTTGGTATATTTTACTAAATTATTTTGTTACAGCGCTACAGTTTTGTTGTTTGTTCAGGAGAAGGAAATTCATTTATGCAACACATTTGACATTTTTTAAAATTATTATTATTTTTTTTTTTATTAAGGACAACAGAATATAACATTTAGAAAATAAAACAACAATCAACATTTAACTAATTAACAATTACAATATTCAGCATAAAACAGACAAAAACATAGAGCAACAACCACAACAAATACAAAAAAAAAAAAAAAAAAAAGCCCCCCATTTCCCCCTAAACCACCCACACCCACACAAGTTTGGCAAAATCAAACAAAATAAATGTGATAGTGCAACATAAATACAACGCTTGGCTCCCTAACATTGGCACACATTCATAATTGAAATTCCTTTTGTCTCTCTTCCTTTTTTTTTTTTTTTTTTAGTCCCTATACTGAAACTAATATTTATTTTCATTTATTTGATGATTAAAATGTTTGTGTTTTATTTGAACGTTGCACAAGAAAGGGTTTAACGAAAACTTTTAGTGTCACAGCCATGATTTAGACATTATGTTTTTATTGAATCATATCGAACCAAAAGTGCAGTGTATCGAGGTATGTATCGTATCGGCAACTTCTTAATATTACCCAGCCCTAATACATTACCACAATCTGACAACTTGAAATAGATGTTTGTATAATTGAATGTCATATTTCATTTTTTTCTTCCCTTTTTGCAGGTTTTGAGGACTATGGGGCGTACTGGAGATATAACTATGAAACCATCGAAGAGCAGCCTCCCTACACTTACACCCGAGATGAGCTCATGCAAGACGTCCGCAAAATATACCACCAGGTCTGAAAGCAAACTACCGTATTTTTCAAACTATAAGTTGGTCTGGAGTATAAGTTGCACCAGCCAAAAAATGCCTAATGAAGAAGAAAAAAACATATATAAGTCGCACTTTTGGGGGGAAATTTATTTAATAAAATCAGAGACCAGGAAGCGACATTTCATTTTGAAAGGCAAGTTACAGTAATAACAATAGAACAGAGAACAACAGGCTGTTAACGTCACATATGAACAGTTCTTCAGATAAACTATAACATAAACAACAGAACAGAACAAGTTTACCAAACTCTCCATCTCACTCCAAATCACTAAATCACTAAATTAAATTAAATTAAATCACTAAATGTGTAGGGGTCGTCAGACTCAGCATCAGTTCCAGTTAGAATTATTCCAGCGTTTCTGAATCCTGACTGGATGGTTTTGGTTGTCACTGAAGTTCAGGCTTTGTCGGTACATCCAATGACTTCCAGGAAAGTTGCATGGTGCACTTTCCCAGTTCCCGTGAAGCTGTGTTCTCCATCCCCGCTTTCCGCCAGTCCCTCACAAGTTTCACTCCAAACTTTCTGTCTGCTGCTCGATTACCATTTTCGACTTCACGACTTGCAGCAGGACAGCAGCTCTTTCTGCAGGAGACATGCGCAGTAGAGGATGAAGTGACAGTGGTACAGGAGTAATAGGAGTAGTAGATACTGACACACAAGCCTAGAGCCTCTCACGGCTGTCAGTGTGAAAATTTTAACGTATAAGTCGCAGTGGAGTATAAGTTGCAGGACCAACCAAATCAAGAAAAAAAGTGCAACTTATAGTCCGAAAAATATGGTATGTAACACGTAATCTCCATCTCCAAGTTAGGGCCGTTGCCATAGCGATTAATAATTAAAATCTTGTGGAAAAAGTCCTGTAACACTTTGACATTTAGTGTATTGGTTACATGTATACTTCTTTTGTTCATTGATCAGCTCAAAATAAATAAGTGAATGAAAATGAAATGAATTAATAATAAAAACTAAACCCAAATTGTTCTCCAGATCATGCCTCTGTACAAAGAGCTCCATGCTTACGTCAGGGCCAAACTGATGGACGTCTACCCCGGACACATCCACCCTCATGGCCCTCTGCCCGCCCATCTGCTCGGTACAGTCACTTTCCTCAATAAGAAATCATAATATTATAATATAGACTTCACATGCTGTTTTCATCTAATCATTAAAGAGCCCATATTATGTTATTTTCTGATCGATGTTATAATGTTGTTTTGTTTCATTCACGTTTAACACACAAACCCTGTATATTTAGGCTGAGTTTTTTTCTCAAACAGAAAACACTCTTTTCCACCTTGTGATGTCATGTGGTAATACGGGATATGCTCCACTTTTTTTTTTAAACTCCAGGCAGCTTCACTAGAATAATTTTGACTATTTGAGCCCTGGAATTGCTGATCTCTGCTGAACAAAAGGTAAAAGGTAAAAGGTAGCTGTTAACTTGAAAACTGGCACTACATGACATCACGAGGTGGAACAGAGCATTTCGAGGCTTGGAGATGTAGACAGAGTAATAATAAAAGATTACTCAAATGTGTGAGATGATATAATATAGAACCTTTAAACATTTTATCCAATGCAAACTTCTAAGAAAACCATGTGAGTTATGCTTCACTTTACTGATTGAAAAAGATTCTTTAAAACAAACATGTCAAACTCAATAACTGCAATATCATATCAAGATCATATCAAATATGTATTAGAGCTGCCCGCCAGCTACTAATAGACTATAGAGACATTATTTATTTAAAATTGTGTTATTATTTTATATTATGCTTGTTCTGGATTCAATGTTTAAGCAAAACCTTTATTAAACATTTATTTTAATAAGAAAAGGTTTAACATTACACATGTCAAAAGAAGAGAAAACATGCAGATGTTGTTGTTACTTTTCAATAAATATTTAGTTTGGCCCAAGACTTAGTCCCAGTTTTTACCTTTGGCCCTCTGTGAATTTGAGTTTGACACCCCTGTTCTTAAACAAGTGGTCAAAAAGTGAATACTAGTGGTGCTGTTCACACACAAATCAAAATCCGATTATAATCTGATTTTGGAAGACTATTTAAATGAAAAAATCTAAATCTGATGTGAGCCCAGAAAGAGACCATGATCAGAGAGAAACCAGATGATTTTACAGACAGCAGTAACAAGTTGGTTTTAACTTTTGTAAACTTAACAAGCTAAAAATATCTTCTAGTGAATGAAACGCAACTCCAGGTTTCTCCATAGTGATGTTATTGCTTTCTCTGGAATGTTTCACAGTATGGCATTAAACCTTTCTATCTTCATGGAGACCAAACCGGACCAAGTTAAAAGTCAGGTCTGTGGAGAGGCGACCCCGCTCACAGTCAGAATGTCTATTTTTCTAAGTATTTCTGAGCTATAAAACCACCTGTAACTGAATAAATGTAAAGTGGAGCTGTTTAATGTCATACTGTGGAGCATTTGAAGCAGAGCGATGACATATCCATAGAAATAAGAAGGTGTCAGACCCTCAAGTAAAACGTTACATAGTGCAACTTTAACTTTTGTATTACAGGTGACATGTGGGGACGATTCTGGACCAACCTGTATCCTCTGTCCATCCCCTTCCCCGACAGACCAGATATCGACGTCAGCAAAACCATGGTCGAGCAGGTACAGTTTCAGATCACATTCAGTGCAGATATCCACACAAATCTGCAGATATCGGGGAGTAGACACCATTTTGCACCTTCTTTGAACTTTTGACTTTTCCATTACTTGTTTTCACTGATTTATAACCTGGCAAAGTCGGTTATCAAACTAGACATCGAAAGCTCAACATCACCACAACTCATGATAAAATACTAAAAACACTGGTGTAGTTCCTCAGTTGTCTACAGCAATGTTTCCCAAACTTTTTTTCTGGGGACCCACATTTTAAAAGTCACAAACCTTCGCAACCCATGTCAATAGACGTTATTCGTAATTCACAAAATAAAGGTGGATTTGACCATTATTGAACATTAATGAGTATTATTGTATTATTGACTAAGTGATCGTTTACTCAAGTTTTAAACTAATGAAAAACAGTAATTGAATCAGCAATAAAAGGGATCCATAAGTCGCCTATTTGGACATTAAGTAGCTCATTTATTTTTCTTTTCAACATTCAATTGAACCAGCAATATTAGAAAAAAAAAAAAGTCAATAAAATAATTACAATAAGATCAGAAATTATACAAAACATGTCAAAGAGATAGGTGGGCCTGTCTGTGTTTTTGTAGTAGTAAAATCCCAATTGACACATATATGTAGTAGTAAAAAGAATAAACGTATAAATAATGGCCCTATTAAGACAAACAATGCTCATCCAGAAACAAAAAAATAAGAATCTCTTGTGACCCACCTGAGGGTCGTGACTCAGTCTTTGGGAAACAGTGGTCTACAGGTAGGTTCCAAGTGAATTTAATTATATTTTCGTGTGTAATAAAAATAATGATCAAACGACAATACCAGGCTAAAAGTATCACTGTGTCTTGTCCAAAAAATTTGGTAATTCAATGTTTTCTATCTATCTATCTATCTATCTATCTATCTATCTATCTATCTATCTATCTACAGACTCAAAATCTTACCATGTGTTGACTCAGACAGATGCGCAATTCGATCAAAAATACATAACAAATACCATATCATACCAAAGCAACTTTACTTATTACCACTTTAAAAAATTTACAGCTGTCCGATTGTTGTACATAAACAAATTAGACAAAGACAATCACAGTTGAAGTCACAATACAACTATTAAAATCATAGAAAACAGTCAGACACGAGGCTCTCAAGTTAATTAACAACAAGAAATCTACACCTCACTTCTTAACAAATTAGTAAAATTAATGAAATTTTTGATAAAGAACATATACTTCACTGGGTCAAATTTAGTACAAATCTCATATTCACTGGGATTTCACCATCAAAAACTAATCCAATAATTAAATTAGGCTATTTTAGAAAGTAGCCACCCAACTAAAATAACTTTTAAAACTCAAACTTTATTTATATGGCACTTTTTATACAAAAAATGTAACACAAATGCTTTGCAGTTATTAAAAAAAGTCACGTGCACAGTCTCATCCACATGTAGACACACTCACAGACACATTAAAATAAAATACTTAAGGCTACATAAATGAGTTTTATTTTGTTTTTCTTTTGCAGGGTTGGAAGGAGCAGCAGTTCTTTCAGGAGGCAGAGAAGTTCTTCATGTCTGTGGGCCTGTACAAAATGTTTGATAATTTCTGGACCGAATCGATGTTTGTGAAACCCGAAGATGGACGCAAAGTCGTGTGTCACCCAACCGCCTGGGACATGGGCAACCAAAAGGACTACAGGTGAGAGAGAACATGCACATACATCTGCGTCCAGAGGGGGGCAGCAGAGAGTTACATTTAAGGAGAGTGAATACATGATACAGAGGGAAGGAGGCTCAGACCAAAACTAAAGAGAAGATTGAAATATGCTTTGATTTGAACATGGTAAATACACAATAGCAAATCTAATTTAATAATGAGTTCATGATTTTTGTTATCTGTGAGACATGAGTCATCAATATTGTGTAGCGATAACAAACTCATCGTCAATTATTAATTTATATAGTCTTGTTTAAAAGCTTACTGTCTTATCTCATCTCATTATCTCATTTTATACAAGGAATACACCCATTCAAATATATCGTGGTGGTGTTATAAAAAAGTATTATTGTAATGCTTTACAAACAGAAAGACAGCAATTACTATTTCTTCTTTCTTACTGAACTCATGTGATCATGAAATTTCCAGTGTTGCTCAAAAAACTGTCACAATACTAAAATTTTGAAGTCTATTTTGATACTAAAGAATAGACTTGATAATAATCCAATCCACTTTATTTAGATAAGCACATTTCACAAACAAACGGTTTCCAAAGTGCTGCACAAATACATACTAATAACGGCAATAATAAAATGATAAAATAAATGCTCAGATTTAATCATACGAGTCTTAAAATAATAAAACCAGCAAAATAAAATGAGAGCAAAATCATAGAATAGCAATAAATAAATAAATAAAATACATGAAAAATAAATAAACCACACAACTCACGCAGTGTTAAAAGCCAGAGAGTAAAAATGGGTCTTAATACGAGTCTTAAAACTCTCCAGTGTGGGGCCGGTCACAGAGAAGGTCCTGTCCCTCCTGGTTTTAAGTCTCGTCTTAGGCACCAAGAGCTGGATCTGGCCCTTGGATAAAAAAGCACAATTCACTCACTCATGCTTTTCTTGCCCCTTTTCCAGGATCAAAATGTGCACTAAAATCACCATGGAAGACTTCCTGACGGTGCACCACGAGATGGGGCATAACCAGTACCAGATGGCCTACCGGAACCTGTCCTACCTGCTGCGGGACGGGGCCAACGAGGGCTTCCACGAGGCGGTGGGCGAGATCATGTCCCTGTCTGCGGCCACGCCCTCTCACCTGCAGAGTCTGGGGCTGCTTCCTCACGACTTCGTATACGACTCAAGTAAAACTTATTTCACACATGTAAAACTATAACTATTTATTGAGAAGACAGTATAAATTTGTACTTTGAGGAATAGTTTTTTTTATTAATTTTTTTTATTTCAAAGGTGCACTGTGCAGCTTTTCTTGTTGAGGTTACTTTGCTGCATGCTATCACTTTGTCTGGGTTAGGGTTGCCAGATTATGCAATATCATCCAGCTGCGGACACAAATGGGCATTCCCGTGCTATGAGCGTTCCCGTGTGGGTGGGGGCTCCGTTCCTCGTCACTGTCAACATCCGGCTCTCTCAACATCAACATCCGGATTAACAACTTTCGATAGATAAAGTTTCAAAATAACATCTAGTTATAGAGTAAACCTTTGCAAACTAAGCCAAATACATAACATGTGTCCAGTTACATCTAAATCAACTTCATTTACATTTAGGACCTAGCACAGGCAGACTTTAACTAACATCGAACTATCTCGGTAACGCAGCGAGCAGCTATAGAAGGGTTTAGCCTATACATTTTTATACAGTCTAGAAAGAGAGGAATCGTGAGTGCGGGTGGAGGGAGAGACATAGCTACAACCATAGACTGTATTTATTTAGACTACAACACGATCATTTCAGGGAGGCTCCATGGTGTTGGCTATTTATTTCGACAACAGTAATTGAGAAGTGTTCTTATGTTGGCTGTATTACTGATACAGCTTCTGTCTCATCTTAATTGTATCCAAATCCGATACTAACATTAGCAACAGGCATTCATTAGTAGCTAATCTCATATTATCTCGTACATTAACAGCGAGCCAGAAGAAAGCTACATGTTCTACTGTTTACCACCAAAACAAAGCATCACATCCACCAGTGTTCTACAGCCGCTATTTCCAACGAACATGATCACATCCAACTTAACAGTGTATTGTAGTAATACTGCCTATGTTGTAAAATAACGGACAAAAACTTTGCTGCAAACTATAGTCTATAACTACAAACAGTATAACACATAGGTTTCTTCAGGCCAGCTGTTAATATACGATATAACATGAGATTAGCTGCTACTGAATGCATGTTGTCGCTAATGTTATTCTTGGATTTGGATACAATTAAGACGAAACAGCAGCTATATCAGTGCTACAGACAACATAAGAACACTTTTCCATTAATGTTGTCGAAATAAATAGCCAATTTACTGACATCATGGTTTTTCATCAAAGACAAAGCTGCTCCACTGCCATATGTAAAATTCCCAGGCAAATGACATTAAACCCAGTATCCCTGGTGAAACTGCACTACCACGAACCCCCAGTGGGTGTTCCTGTATCCTGAGGGAAACGCCCAAGCCGCAGGTGGACCCTTCTCAGATTATGTTCCACATTATGGCATTACACTATGGCATTACTTATGTATCAGAGGTTTATTCAATTAACATGTGTTTTTATTGCTCGAAAAACATGCATTCTTACTTGAGGTTGGGCTTGCCTCTCCACAGATCTGACTCATAACTTGGCCTGGTTCTAGTGAAGCTGTATGGAGTTTAAAAACACAGTGGAGCACATGACATCACAATTATTATTATTGAGAAAATAGTGTTACAAAACTTGAAACTGTATATTACCTGCTACTACATGTTGTTACTACTGATAATAAAATGCAGATTTCTTGAAATATTTAAACATTATTATAATTTATACACACACCACAATATTATTTAATGACTAAATGTTTTGTATTCCGATCTCATATTATGTTACATGAATTTTATAAGAAATATTCAGTGTTTATTCCAGGTTTAGTGATGTACTCGGTGATCTGCTGCTCCATACTGCCCTCGAGTGGTTAAAAAAGTAAATGACACAATACACGCTAGAAAATTATAGTTGTGGTAGTACTTGTTGTAATAGTAGTTGAAATATTTGGAAGAGCTGTAGTTGCAGTGAAGTAATACCTGAATACACAATAACACACTATACCAAGAATGTACTTCCAAATTCAAATATAAAATTATGAAGTAAATTATTTGTATTATTTATTTATTTATTTCATAGGGACAGTGCATATTAATGAAAATTGCAGTGAAATTTGCCAGATTATAGCAAAAATACTAATTTCCATCTGTAGTCCCTCGGCAGGTGACACCACAAATTTTACAGAGAAAAAACAACAATAACAAGTGACAGTTCTAAACTAAAAGTGTCCACAAGTCTGATTTTCCTTTAGCCGCTGTTTAAAGTGGGATTTAAAAGTGGTCAGTGTTGGCGTCTCTCTTATTGATAATGGGAGACTGTTCCAAAACTTAATGCCTCTGACTGAGACACACTTTGTCCAAATGTGGAGTGTCTGTGTGGGACCTCACAGTTCCCCCGGGCCCCTGACAGTCTTTACTTTCATAAAATCCTGTAACGGACGGGGGGCAAGTCCATACAAAACTTTATATATAAAACATCCATATTTAAAATGAACAAATGATTAAAATTAAGTAAATTGTTCTTGTGTAAAATAGTGCAATGGTGAAATGAGAATGGTTTCTTGTTCATTATTTTTACAGCCTTTTTAAAAATTGATTCGATTGAGTGTTGTGCCAGCAGCGAGTGACCAAGTGGTTATGTAATAAAAAAACGACACCACACCAGTTCATTTCACAAAAACATGATTAAAAATGCAACAACTTGTCCAAATAAAGTCCAGTGACAAAAGTATTGCCATTGCTTTGCCTGATGTTTCACAGTATGTCACCAGGCCAAGTTACAGTTCAGATCGGTGAAGTGGCATCACACTGGGGGAGTTCTACGTGTATGTCTATGGTGGAATGTTTAGCAGTTGCCATAGTGACACCACTCATTAGCAACCACTGTCAAAAAAAATTTAAGACTGTCTCAAGAGAAAAAAAATATATATATATACAAAATGCAATAACATAAACATTCATGGTCATGTTTAGGTGTTTGATTTACAACAAAAACAGAGAGTGAGAGTGAGAGTGATGGAAAAACTTTGGCTGATTGTAATTTAGAGTGACCAGATTTTCAATGTCAAAACCTGGGACCCCCTCCTGGTTTTGGGGTGGTTGTAATAAAACTGTGAATCAAGCGTGGAATTAAGGAAAATTGTTATTCATTCTGCTCTTTCATGACCAACTTGTGAGTCAGGTTGGTCAGTAAATACAAAAAAGCTGCTTAAAAATGACCAAAACACAAAGAAAATGTGTTTTGGTCAAATGTGTTTGGTCATTTTTAAGCAGTTTTACTTAAACAAATGACAATTTATGCCTCTCTTTGGTGTTGGCAGGGATCAAAAACGGTCAAAAATAGGGACACTTGGGACATTTCTTGGGACAAATCAATGGTTTTTGGATAAATGTGTTGGGAAAAGGGGACACATGGCTCAGAACTGGGACTGTCCCCAGTAAATAGGCACGTCTGGTCATCCTACTGTAATTTTATGTGACTTGTTAAACAGTGAAAATCAGCTCACCTGTTGTAGCTCAGTTCTTTATGATCATGTTGTTTTAAAACTCACATTAAACTCAGATTAATTCGAGTAACAGAGCCTCAGACAGAGCTAATCAATAACAGATAATAATCTCCCACTAGAAAAGATACATAGTGCACATTTAAAAGCCTATATTTAACTAAAGCTTCATCAACATTTGTGTCTTTTTTTCTGAATCAGATACGGAGATAAACTTCCTGTTGAAGCAGGCTCTGACCATCGTGGCCACGCTGCCGTTCACCTACCAGCTGGAGGAGTGGAGGTGGCAGGTCTTTGCCGGAACCATCCCCAAAGATCAATGGATGAAAACCTGGTGGCAGATGAAGTAAGAACACCGAGCCATCAAAAAAGATCCTGAAATTAAATTTTTAGTTTAAAGGACCCGTATCACACCAAATTTACTCTTGTGAGCTTTAAGTCACGTTGTAATGCTTTTACCTTGTCAAAAACAAGCCTGGAGTTGTGTTTTCTTTTCTTCACACATTTGAGTAATCCTTTTTTATTAGTCTGTCTACATCTTCAAATGTAAAAATGCTCTGTTCCACCTTGTGATGTCATGAAGTGGCAGTTTTCAATTTAACAGCTCCCGTTTACCTTTAGTTCAGTAGAGATGGGCAATTCCAGGTCTTAAATAATCCAAATTATGCTAGTGAAGGTGTATGGCATTTAAAAACACAATGGAGCATGTCCTGTACTTTTTATTTATTTATTTATTTATTTACTGCAATAGCAGCAATATCTCAGCATAATTATTCAAAGTTTTCAGTATGACTTAAATGTTATATTTATTTTGTTGATTAAATTTCTGAATAATAATTATAATTAAAATAAAAGTTTAATGCGTGTTTTACAAGATTTTATTTGTTCTATAGTAAAGTAATCACTGATATGAACTGTTCTGACATTGAAATAGAAGATTGCGCTCCCTCTAGTGGTGACGCTTCAAACAGCAGCTGTTTTGGAATCATTTGTTTAACCAATAAAACAAAGGAAAAAAGTCATTATGCAGGAACAGAGAGAAGTCAAATTAAATGTGACTTATTTATAAATAAGAGTTGTATTTCACTCAACTTGATGAAATGACAATGCATTACCTCTGTGTTGTACAGGAGGGAGATGGTGGGAGTGGTGGAGCCAGTTCCTCATGACGAGACCTACTGTGACCCCCCTGCTCTGTTCCACGTGTCCGGAGACTATTCCTTCATCAGGTAACACTGGTTTTCATTTTATAACCCAAATGAAAAAGTTGGGGAGTTTTTAAATTCAGTTAGTGGTTTTCAGACTAGAAAGTGACGATGGCATACTCCCAGATGGGGGCAAGAGACAGTTTTTCCTGTTGATTACATTGTACTTTGCCATGAAATATCTGAAAAGTAAATTTACAAATCTTTAGCCTAATGATTTCTATTAGTGTCTAGGTCATAGAACAATAATAAAGTCTTATTATAATTATAAATATTATAATTCTCAGCTCCATGGCCTGGATCCGTTCACTTCTTGTACCACAAAAACGTCATTTTAACAATATGCGTTTTAGCTGCCCCCCATCTGTTGATATTTTGCAGTGACATCATGCTGGGGGTGTTCTACATGTATATCTATTGACAGAATGTTCATCAGTTACCATGGTGACACAATGCACACATTAGCAAACACAGACAACAAAAAAGATCTTCTCAAAACTCAAGAAAAAATACATATTGGTTTAAACAACACATTTTCAGGAGCTTGTGACAAAAACGAGCGTTCATAGTCCCGTTTAGGTGTCTGATTTTCAACAAAAAGGTGAGAGTGACTAACTGGAAAACTGTTGACTATTTCTAGCTACCTTCTGACTGTAATTTTATGTGTGAGATCTCACCTGTTGTAGTTCCAACTAAACCAGCTCTGTCCAGTCAGATTGTGTTAAAATAAAGCTCAGATTAAAGTATAACTTGAGTAACAGAGCTTCTAACATACAGTAGCAGTACTTTTGGTTAGCATCACACCCTGGGAGAATGTTAATGACATGAGCTGCAAGGTGTCAATTACTGTCCTATAGAAGAGTCACATGAAACCCAGCAATATACAATTTTTTTGTAAAACAATTCTCTTTTTGCACAGTACACAAAAATATCTTGTACAATATAATACAATATAATGCAAAATGTCATAAAAGTGCTGTTTTTGTTGCAGATATTTCACCAGGACGATTTATCAGTTCCAGTTTCAGAAGGCTCTGTGTGACGCGAAGGGACACACGGGAGACCTGGCCTCATGTGACATCACCAACTCCACCATAGCAGGAGAAAAGCTCAGGTACTCACAAATACAACTATGTACTACATAAGATTAGGTACTCGCAAATACAATTATAACACATTATAACACAGCTACATCTTATATAACATCAGATGCCCACAAATACAGCTATGTACTATATAGGACAAGGTACTCACAAATACAACTGCAACACATTATAACACAACTATGTACTATATAAGATCAGGTACTCACGAATACAGCTATAACACACTATAACACAGCTACATCTTGTATAAGATCAGGTACCCACAAACACAGCTATGTACTATGTAAGATGAGGTACCTACAAATACAATTATGCACTATATAAGATGAAGTACCCACAAATACAACTATAACACACTATAACACAGCTACGCCTTATATAACATCAGGTACTCACAAACTCAGCTATGTACTATATAAGATCACGTACCAACAAATACAGCTATACTTTATAAGATCAGGTACCGACAAATACAGCTATGTACTATATAAGCTGAGGTACCCACAAATGCATACTATAACACACTATAACACAGCTATGTTTTAGGTACTCACAAAACAGGGGCAGCACAGTTCTTGAGTAATAAGAAGTTGTACTTTTCTAGCAGCATACTTTTACTTGAGTAATATTTTTTATTGAAGTAACAGTACTCTTATTTGAGTAAAGGTTTTGGTGACTCTTCCCACTGTGAGTAAGTCTACAAGAGGCAAAATCTTTATGTTGACATTGACAATATGAAATTATTTGAAAATGTATGTTTCTTGCACCGCTCCTTCACATTTGTCTAATTTTTGTGTCTATCCTCTGAAAATACCAGATTTTGTGCAATCAGTCCTTCAAAGTAAATTAACTTCAAATTAAAATACAGTTACTCTTACTTGATTAGTGTTTCTTACTCTTACTTACTTGAGTCATTTCTATGACCACTTCTTTGTACTTGAGTATGATCATTTTGAAGTACAGTTTTTCTTACTTGAGTACTTTTTTGACTACTCTATCCACCTCTGATTAAACTCTCTCGCTCTTGTGTTAGGAACATGCTGGAGCTGGGTCGGTCACAGTCATGGACCAGGGCCTTGGAAACCATCTCTGGACACGTGAGGATGGATGCACAGCCACTGCTCGACTACTTCCACAAACTCTTTGTGTGGCTCCAAGAGGACAACAAGAAACATGGCCGTATTGTGGGCTGGAACCCCACCATAGACCCTTGTGAGTATGGATCAGCTGTTGTGGAACATTCATATACAGTGATTTTATTCATTGTAATTAGTTTTGCTGTTTATGTTTTGGTATGAAGGGACCCATAATATGCAGTTTTCTGTTGTTTCCTCACCAAAAACATGCCTGGAGTTGTGTTTTGTTTCCTTCACACATGTTTAACACACAAACCCTGCATGTTTAGGCTGTAAGTGAAAATACTTTGTTCCACCTTGTGATGTCATGTGGTAATACAGGAAATGTGCCAGTGTGTTTTTAAACTTCATACACTTTCAGTAGAATCATTTGGATGATTTCAGACATGGAATTGCCAACCTCTGCTGAACAAAAGGTAAGCGGTAGCTCTGTTTACTTGAATACTACCACTACATGACATCACCAGGTGGAAACAGAGCATTCTGAGCTTTGGCAATATAGACAAAACACAACTCCAGGTATGTTTTTGATGAGGTAACAGCATTATAACATGGACACAAAGACATATGCTATTTTTGATAGAATAAAACTATAACATACTCCATCATCACTATTTTACATTTGTTCATTGTTGTTGATCTATAATGACTTAATAGTGACATTTCCCAGTAGCAAGCAACATATTTTTGTTGGTGAAAAATGGCTATATATAACCCTTAGTCTGAAGTATCACTCAGGTTTAAGTTAAAAGTGTTTTCAGCCTCGTCTCTGGAAGTAACTGTGGGCTGCTCTCACCTCTGGAAGTCACTGGAAGCGTCTGATGAAGTCATTGTTCAGTTTCTAAAGCAAATATCCGTGCTTGTAGCTCATTAATTTCTTGTTGATAGTTCCGACAGCGCTCATAGATAGAATTCACTAGGTTTCTTTTCCCCGACATGTTGCTGGCTCATCTGATGATTTGTCAAAAAATGTAAAAATGTCTTAGAAGTCTTGGTTTACTTGAAAGAAAATTAAAAAGGAGCACTCAAGCAAAGCAATACAAGTTTATTTATATAGCACAATTTGTACACAAAGTAATTCAAAGTTCTTTACAGAATAAGAAATACATTAAAATTGCAATGCAAACAAATGCATAATCATAATTCAGTTAGAAAACAGAGAGAAAGAGACATTCAATTAAAAGTCATGTCTGATGATGATGGAAAACCAGTTAGAAGCTCTTCTTTAAGATTCATTTACATATTACATATTAAAGATGTCCAGGAGCATCAGATTCGGCAAAGTTGGATTTGTGCCTCATCAAACTAAACTTCTTTTGTTGTCTCATAGTTTCGGAAAATGGCGTCAAAGTGAGGATCAGTTTGAAAGCTGCAATGGGCGACAATGCTGTAAGGTTTTTTTTTTTTTTTTTGTATCTTTATCATAGTTTTTTTTATTGATTCACTTTCACCCAAATATTCTTTTTTTTATGAATTCCAAACTTTTTCGAGCTGTCATGTCACACTGATTTCATCTCCTGAGTCCTGAGACATTAACCATAATTGCTACTTGCCTAAACTTTACTTATTTTAAAGGTGCACAATGCAACATCTAAGGTGGAGAGTCCGATACTTGCCTATCTTAATGGAGATGTTTTTTCTTGCAATGTTCCACAGTAGGGCGTTAAACATAGCTCCTGCGTATGTGTTCAGTTACAGTTTTATAGCAGAAAAATACCTTAAAAGCATGGAGTCTTACCATGTGCAGGCTCGCTATTGCATAGATCTGACCATTAGCCTGTCTCCATTGTGATTTCCAAGTTTATTTCCATACTGTGGCGTACCCTCCTTCAGAAAAGTTACACAGTGCACCTTTGAACTCATATCTGAACTTTAGATATGTTATTGATTTAATACTAAAAGATTTGCCGTATTTTTTGGGCTATAAGGCAAAGGCAAGACAAGTTTATTTGTATAGCACAATTCGTACACAAAGTAATTCAAAGTGCTTTACAGAATAAGAAATACATTAAAATCACAATAAAAACAAATCAAAACATAAATAATCATAAAGATTCAAAATTAAAAGAGAGAGACATAAATTAGAGAGAAGAGTGCATCACTCCAGAGTCAAAAAAATGCGTAATGAAGAAGAAAAAAACATATGTAAGTCATGCCAGACTATAAGTCGCATTTTTGGGGGAAATTCATTTTATAAAATCAGAGACCAGGAACCGACATTTCATCTTGAAAGGCAAGGCAAGGCAGTAATAACAATAGAACAGAGAACAACAGACTGTTAACGTCACAGATGAACAGTTCTTCAGATAAACTATAACATAAACAACAGAACAAGTTTACCAAACTCTCCATCTCACTCCAAATCACTAAATCCACAGAATTCTTCATCCTCAGTGTCACTTCTGAGCAACTCCGCGACATCTGGAGGTAAACAGAGCGCCGCTTCCTCTTCTGTGTAGCTGTCGTCAGATTCAGCATCAGTTCCAGTTAGAATTATTCCGGCCTTTCCCGACAGGATGGTTTCGGTTGGCACTGAAGTCCTTTAAATTTTTAATTTTCAGTGGTAACGAAATAATGCTGTGATCGACTGACGTGATAGAGACAGGACAGAGGCTCTTTCTGCAGGAGACATGCGCAGGAGAACCAAGTAACAGTGGTACAGGCGTAACAGGAGGAGCAGATACTGGCACACAAGCCTAGAGCGCCCTCTCGAAGCTGTCAATATGAAAATTTTAATATATAAGTCACACAGGAGTATAAGTTGCAGGACCACCCAAACCATGAAAAAAAGTGCGACTTATAGTCCGAAAAATATGGCATATCATCGGGACCTAATTTCTGTCTGCTTTTCCTTGCCCACAATTTTGAAAACAACAAAAGAGATTGAAATTGATTATGCTTATATTTCTCTACCTTTTTCTTTGTGTTTTAGTATCCTTGGAATGACAATGAGTTGTTCCTGTTTAAATCCAACATCGCCTACGCCCTGAGACAGTACTACCAGCTCAAGAAGAACACCACTGTTATGCTCACGTATGTATTTTCACATTTTTATAGCATAATTTTTTTAGAGATGGGTTATCAGTAATATCAGAGACTTTCTCCAGGTATCGGTATCTTTTCGTAATAACAATTTTGCTGATATTTACCACTATTTTTCTCTGTGTACCCAAGTGCTATTGCCACATAATCAACATTTTGTCTTTTTGAACGGCAGAGGAGCAATTAGGCTTAAATATGCTCCGTATTTACACAATCATGCAGCAAATGATTTTATACCCAAGATAAATACATTTTGTTTTTTTTTAACAAAAGCTTAAAGTTAATTTGAGAACTTAACATATATTTTTTTGTTCTCATAACCTCAGTATGACACAACAGCAAGTTCAGTATCAGATATCAGCTCAAAAACTGAACCGTCCCCTAAAGAAAACAGCTTATTTCACATACTTTCACATTATCTATTATTTTGTTATATTGATACAGATCAGACAATGTCATAGTTTATGACCAGACTCCAAGAATCTCCTTCTACGTCGTGGTGAAAAACCCAGCCGGAATGAACCAGTTTTTCCCCAAAGAAGACATAGAGGAAGCTATCAGGTAAAGACTAAATGAAGACTTAAAGGGCTTTTGACAGGTTGGACTACTCATTTCACTAAAACGCACCATTATATTTAAGATTTACATAAAAATGTTACAATTCTTTTTCCTGTTTGATACATTTTTAGGTTTCCACATTGTACACTGGGCTAAAACTCCTCTAATGCACACAGAAAGGATCATTTCATACATTTAAATATGAGAAAACACCATTGTTTTGTTGAAATAATGTATCAGAAAAATGAGTTTCTTGTGTAAATTGTGATGAACATGTAGGATGGCCGTTTTTATTAGCAATTATTGATATTCTGCTCTGTCTGAGGCTCTGTTAGACTTTAATCTGACCTTTGTTTTAACACATTTTGACTATAATGAACAGATTTAGACGGGACTACAACAGAATTTATACTGTTAAGCAAGTCTTCCAAGCATAAAATTACAGGCATAACCAAGGTAGCCAACAGTTTTTTTCAGTTAGTCACACTACATTTTTGTTGAAAATAAAACACCTAAACAGGACCATGGACGATTTTTTCTTTTTTTTGTTTTGTTTTTTAATTACAGACTCATGAAAATTTGTTGTTTAAATCCATCTTGAGTTATGTAGTTGCTGATAGACTTTTTTCACAATGACCGGAAGTGCCGTACTGTAAGGTTTCGCAGAACTTCCGGTTAAATGCCTGTGGAAATGTCTCGCATATTCTCCACCAGCTTCGAAAATCTGCCCACTTCATCTCCAAATCTTTAACCAACAAGGTCGACAAAGGATAAACATTTTTCCATGAAGAATTTATTCACATCTATCAAGGGAAAAAAGATGAAAGCTTAAAGGCGAACAACAACTAGCATTAGTGAACGACTGCTGAGCAAAGTCTAACCTTATGTTGTGTTAGAGATGTCTAGCATTTGAACTGTAGAAATCTATCTATCTAGGCTAATATCTACATCATGAAATTGATTTTTAATTTTAATTGTAGTCTGAGTTAACAAGTTACTCATGTTTAATTCATGACCATAAGGTAAGTTTTGCTCAGCAGTAGTTCACTAATGCTGGCCATTGTTCACCTTTAAGTTTTCGTCTTTCTTACTTTAATAGTTGTGGATAAATTCTTCATGGACAGAATGTTTATCCTTTGTCGACCTTGTTGGATGAAGATTTGGTGATGGGGCAGATTTAGGAAGCTGGTGGAAAATACGCGAGATATTTCCACAGATATTTTGCCAAAGAAAACCATTTACCGGAAGTTACAGACTTACGGCCGTTGTGAAAAAGGTCTGTTTGTGCATTGTGTCGCCATGGTAACTCCTAACACTAAATACTAGACCCATTTTGGTTTGTGCTGTTTACCTCTAGACTGTCTCGTGGGAGAATCAACGATGCCTTCCAGCTCAGTGACAGCACTCTGGAGTTTGTGGGCGTGCCTCCGACTTTATCTCCGCCTGCTGAGCAGCCTGTGGAGGTGTGGCTTGTCATATTTGGGGTGGTCATGGGACTTGTAGTCCTCACCGGCATCTATATGGTGTTCTCCGGTATCAGGGAACGCAGGAGGTAAGCAAGACCCTATACCTGATTTATTCCCAAAATGTGTCTTGCCGCAGTATAGATATATTGTATAAGCAGCTCCTGAGGTAAAATTAAGTCCTCTGCGTGCTTCTGCATTTAGGCTCAGTGCACAAGAGAACTAACAACCTCACTGTTAGCAGCACTACTTCCTGTCAAATTTTATCTCTGTGATGTTTTTGCTGAAATGTGCTAAAATTAATAAAAAACATTTAAAGATGAAGCAGTGAACAGGGAGCTTGAGGCATTATAAATATACCACAATTTGAAGTAATCTACACATAAAAATAATCATGTGGTTTTTATTTGGATTTTAATAGATTGGTTACATTATGTTTTACCATTTTAATAAAAGTGTTTGAGACACAGTGAACAGAGCCTATTGGAAAACGTTTTATTGTTTGTAATCAGGGAGTGCATGTAAGCATGCTAGTTGTTAGTTTTTCTATGTGTCTAATTTTCACTGTCACATGAAAAACAGAACCAGTTCATTTTAAACTGATTACAGTGATTACTTTTCTCAGACACCAGAGCAGAGTTTTGCTGAGACTGAGAAAACTAACAACAACTAGCATGCTAACACACACTTCCATCTTATCAGACAGTAACTCTTTATTGAACTACAAGATGTATGTGATTTATAGAGTAAATTATATGGATACAAACCAGAGGTGGGACCAAGTCGTTGTTTTGCAAGTCTCAAGTAAGTCTCAAGTACTTGACCTCAAGTCCGAGTCAAGTCCCAAATCAAAGACCAGCAAGTCCAAGTTGAGTCTCGAGTCACTGGCCCATAAGTCCAAGTCAAGTCCAAGTCATCTGCTCTGAGCTTCAAGTCATTTCAAGTCTTTAAACCAAAGTACCAAATATAGCTTAGATTTTTGCAATTTATATGAATTTTAAACTCATTTGTAATTTAAAAGTCATGGTATATTTATATATGAGTATTTATTTAAGCAAATTTTTCCTTTTTAAATGTCTTGACAAGATTTTAGTGTGAATCACTGCGATTAGAAGAGAAGGAATTCAGATTTAAAAGTGCTAAATAACAGTTATTTTGTCATGAAGGATCGTGTTCTATGTAGTTCCCTCTGTTTTACTGAGTTGTACTGTATATTACTGTGTGTTACTGTAGTACTTTTGAGGATAACACATCACAATACTTCAGTTCCATCCAAAGTACCAAACAGTGAAGTGGGACGGACATGTTCTAGTTTGTTCCAGTAAAATTCAGCGTTGCATTTATCAACTGTAAAGAGAAGAGTATTTTCTAAAAACATTTTTTTTTAGCAGAAGCATCGAATCTTCTCAAGTCACAGGCCTAAAGTTCAAGTCAAGTCCCGAGTCACTGACCTTCAAGTCCAAGTCGAGTCCCAAGTCTTAGTCCATTTTATCAAGTCAAGTCTCAAGTCCTAAAAATAGCGACTCAAGTCTGACTCAAGTCCAAATCAGAACTCGCAAGTCCCCACCTCTGATACAAATCTGCCATACTGAATCAATGTATTGTCCATTTGTTTGTTATTAGAGTTGCAAAAGTTTGGCTAATGAAATTAACATGCCTCTTATCTGTTTGTAGGAAAGTCGTTAAAGATGAAGTTTTGGAAAACCCATATGACTTAGACGGACACTCCAACAAAGGTTTTGAGAGCGAGAATGAACAAACTGGATTTTAGGAGTTTAACTCAGTGAACCCTTAAATAATGTGATTTTGAACCACGACACAAACAGCTGTTGGGGATAGTCAGCGGAAGTTGTCTCCACATAATTCTTATCCATTTCTTGCAGTTTCTTCCTGTACGATTCTCATACAACAAACTCAATTTTAAAATATATAGGTTATAAATAAGTCAGGTTAAGGCCCTTTGATATGTAGAAAATATACGATACGGCTGCTTTATCTTAGTGAAACGTAAAATGTAATTCTATTTAAAATGTCTAATAAAATCTCTATGCATTTCAGCTTTACTCCAACATGTAAAGATGTCGTTGTATTTTTTTGGTTAAATTGAAATAATGCTTCAGAATGTACCTTCGATGTTCCAAAAGTAAGTTTGTAGTATTAGAAGTTGGAAGTAGGATAGAAAATTTTTATTGGATCAAAATTAAAAGAACTTTAACTTTTTGTGTGATTTATTTATTTACAAAACTTTACCCTAGATATGACTATGCAACAACATTGTGTCAGAAAGCTCAGATAAAGTTAATTTCGATATCAAAGTAACATGAAGCCACCAATGCCCCCATGATCATCCCCACTGTTACCCTCCAAATCCCTCTCTTTTTGCCCTTTCCCACTAATGCTGCCGCTGCTTCCATGGAAACCCTAAATGCCCCCACCACACCCATAACTGCCCCTATAGACGTCCCAGGACTCATCTTTGGTGCAGCGACTATTAAAGCACAAAGAACCACTACACCCCAAAATGCAGAAGCCAAGCAAAGTACCAAAGCTTTTGGAGAAGACCTTGAAATCCCAATGCAACTGACAAAACACTGAGATGGTAATATGATGTTTAAAAGAATCGAAAACCTAATAAAATAAAAACTAAATTCCAGTACAGTTAAAATTAATGCATATTTCAGGAATGTTGTGTACATCAAAATGAAACATTGAATGTAATGGCTGATGTAGTTACGATACTTGAATATTTTTGCATACCCTGAAACGCCAGTGTAAAAATGTAAAATGGTGACTACTGACAATATGTTGAGTGTCCATGTACCAGCCAATATGATTACAAATGATTCTGACTGATGAACAGACAAGCTCCACAGACTTAACAGGACCATAAGAAGAGCACATAATATACCCCAGATCCATGGATAAGAAAAAAATATTGTCCCAAACATTGCTCCAGTTGCACTTGCAGCCACTAAACAAACCAAACCAATGAGATTCAAAGTGTTAACACTCCCGGTATCAAGATCTCTTATAAATAGTGACCCAACCATGATAGCTGTGGTTGAAGATGCAATGTCAATAGCCATGCATAAAAGTCCTGTTGGCAAATACAGAAAAGTGTGTAGAAATGTTTGATGGATCGTCCAGTACTCAAGCAGAAGCTCATCCAAATGTCCTAGGAACAGTCCGCCTGAAAGTCCAAGGAGCATCCCGAGAACCACCAACAACAAACTTTCTGAGAAGAGAGGGTTTACAAAAGTAGGCATGAAAATACTGCAACTATGCATATTGTTTTTTGTTTTTTTTTTAAAGGGGTAATAGGTAAAACTTTAAATTTGTTCATCAATCTTGCTCTCTCAACATATGAGATTTCTCATTGTCTAATCTATTTAATACACCTGTTGTAGATGTTTTTATGTATTTATCGTTTATTTTAATGAATCCTCTTGCATCCATAGATTAATTGAGACATTGTAACTTAAACAAAGGTTGTTTAATCAAAATGCTTTTTTCTCCATCTTACTTACAATGAAAAAAGAAAGGGAAAAAGGTCATGTGCATAATTGAAAAAGAAAGAAAAAATTTTTATAAAATTTGATTGCACAATCTTGTTTGGTTCTGGCTTCAGGTATGACAGGGGAGTGGTGATCATCCAGATATGTCACGCACCTGAAAAATGTGGCACTACTAGTACATACATACGGGTTAATCATTCAAAAGCAAACAAGCATTAAACAAGTTCTTCTTAATGCCCATGTATACCTCTTGCTTCATATAGGCCTATTTGATGTCTTCTGTATTTATATAAAATGTAGTACGTTACGTATAAATAAACTATATATATATGTATACGCGCGCACACATGCACACACACACATATATATCAGCTCTTACCTCGGGTCTTCTGGAAGATATGCAAAAGCCAAGCCATTATATGTCTTTAAGAAACTGAAGCATGAATAAATCCAAAGGAGAGTTGACTGGTTAAAGGTAAAACCACTTGCTTCAAAGAAGAGTTCACCTTGTGAGTGAAGTTGAGACGCGGTGCAGGCGGAGGCCTATCTATACTTCATAAGAACATAAGAACACTATTCTTGTTCTTGAGGTGATGAGAACAAGAACAAAGTTCATTTGGGCTCTGACATTTCATGCTTCAAAAGATGAACTGCCCCGCCTCCTTTCAAAAATATGTTATCTGTTATGGGACACGTGTTGGGACAAAACTGCTGTGTATGTTTCCATGAAGATGTTAACTCAGCAGTTATGCTGGTATAAAAGGCACCCAGTTTTTCTGTGCATCAGTTGGGGAATGTCAACTGCATTGTCGAGGGACGACCGACGCACAGAGACGCCGCGTAGGCAAATCATGCTGAATCAACTTGAATCTTGAGACCTGTACCTGCCTGAACCAATAAAGAGACATGTCTGAGAACTGTTCTAACTCTCCAAGCCTCTTTCTTAAGATCCTCTGTTCAGGCTGCCTCCAGGAGAAGCTGACAAGCAGCACATCCTCTGTCACAGAAAAAAACACACGAGTCGTGTCCTTTAGTCTGACAGAACCTGACCGCAGCAGTGCACAAGGAACTAGCTGTTTGTTTGTTTTTTCAGTGCTTTATAGTTTATGCAAATTAGTCATGTGTTTTTAAGTTTTGTTTCTGTAAAATGTAAACAAATGTGTAGTAGCTCTATAGTAGTTATGGCTTATATGTTGTAAAGTTGAGTTTATTTATGCAGAGGATTTTAATTAATAGTCTGATGAAGTGTAGAACTTGTAATTGAGTATTTGGAAACGTGGATATCTTAAGGCTGTGGGTATGTCGGGTTACACTTAGATGTTATGATTGTAGGTTCTTGTAGTTTTCCTTGCTCACTAAAACCAACACGGCAGGACAGTGTACAATACATTTTATTGAGCAACACCTCTCTCTACTCTTCTGCCCAAAAACGCTCCACTGAAACAACTAAACAACATAACAGAACCCAACACAATGCAACAATGAACTGTCAACAACATAAATGCAAAATAATATAAATTATTTATCCAAACAATATATAAAATAATAATCACACAAATTAATATTAATAAATGAAATAATATGCATAAAAATAAATCAAAGGTTACATTAATTTAAAGTTTAGCGGGGGGATCTTTGTATAGCAGTGGGTAACCTCTTACTGCACACCATTCCTCCTCAGGAACGCTTCACTCTTCACTGACAAAACTTTACAGCAATAGTAAACATTACTACGGCATTATACAGAGTGTTTAGTCATACATTGTCACTTGGTCATTGCCATTCTGGTAACACAAAACTTATAACAGGGGCTGTGTCTTAAAGAGTTAACAAAAGGGGTAACTGCTTTGAACTGCCATGGATGTATAGAACTATCAACTGTGACTGCATTGCTAATCAAAATGACAGGACCTGGATGAGAATTTTCCCTTTTAAGTTACGAATAAAGGACTTTAAACAAGCTAAATTGCGAGGAGATAATCAAGTTATTTCACTATAAATGGAACAGAGCGTTTTGAGCTTTGAAAATGTAGGCAGACTAAAATAAAGGGTTTCTCAAACATGTGTGAAACAAGACACAAGTTTTTTTTTTTTTTTTTTTTTTTGAAAAGATAACAACATTCCAACATGGCTTAAAGCTCACAAGTGTCATTTTTGCATTATAAAGGACCTTTAATTTTAACTTAAACTTTAACTTTTTATACATTTATCCTATATCACTCAATAGGTCTGAGCAGTTTTGGAAAAAAAAAAATCTAAATGTGATTTTGAAAGCGTTGAGATTGTGATTCGACAGGATTTTAAACATGTTCAGAGGAATTGACAAAAAGACTGAAATATAAACTAAAAACATCACATTTCAAAATTTCATCATTTGTACAGTTCTTATTCAGCTGGCACTTTTTATGCAGAATTTCTAACTCCTTTCTTTCTAATCGCGATTTCGATTTGATTGTGATGAATCTTGCAGCCCCATCACTCAAGATCTATAAGCAGTTTGTTGCAGGGGAGCTGTTTAAGGTGGTACACAAAGCAAGTATAAAAAGCGATTAATTAGCTTTATTCATCAACAAACTTTAATTGCATAATACTTTTCATAATACTTCTATTCAAGCGGTTAAAAGAAATGTTAAATATGATAGAGTAACGGTCCTTTTGTATTAATTAAAAAGTATTTAATATTGTGTATGTCATGTAAATAAGTTGCTTAGCTGCTATACATTAAGTTGGAACCGTTGAAGTGTTAAAATGTTTAATTTTGTATGAAAAGAGGGCAGATATTACAAGTCTATACATATTTCTGCTCCTTTTCATTTACATTGATGTATAAAACATTATTATATATTCATTTTTCATGAATGAAACAAATAAAAATATAAAAGAAAACAAATGAATTACATACATGATGCAGCACAAAGATTGGTATATATAGAAAATATAGAAAACAAATAAAGAAATAATAGGAATATATATAACTCATTTATTTTTTCAGACATTTAAGATTGATTAGGGACACAAATGAGGTAAAACCATAGATTGTATATGTAAATGGACAGAGCTAACTCCCTGGTGGTCCTGTTCCAAATAGGAAGTGAGCACACACGCACTTCCTTATTTATTTATTTGTTAAACTGTGCAGCTTTATAATTTTGGGTCGTGTCACCTGCTTGTTTCTATGGATAAATCATTGGAATGGTATGAATGTTCCACAGTATGACATTAAACAGCTCTACTTTACATTTATTCAATTACAGATGGTTTTATAGCTCAAAAATACCTAGAAAAACATTCTGACAGTGAGCGAAATACATTAATCAATCAATCAGTCAAACTTTTGAGGATTTCCGTTTGCCTGTTGAATATTCTCCAAAAAGTAGTTTCCTCTTGCCTTCTTTAACTGTGATGTGACTATTTCGTATTCTCTTCAGACTAGACTTTAGAGATTTTTTTTTTAAGCGCTGAACTCATTTAAAATCCATGGCACCCCTGATGGTTGTAACTGGTACTAGGCTCTTTTTTTTTCAATGACAATGATGAATCGCTCTCCCTCTTTTGCCATTCTCGGAGTGTTGACTTCAGTGGTTTCGATGAACCATCCGACGTGGAGAGCAGACTCAAACGTGGTCCCTCTGGTGCGTTCACTCTTCATATAGAAAACAAAGGCCAGAGCTTCATGGTCATTCTTCGAAATGCTCCTCAATTTCTGCTTTTCACATGTCTGCAACATTTCACAAAGGAAAATCTGTTTGTCATTTTGTCAGTTTAAGGCGCTGAACCTGATTTTTATTTTGTCTTTAAAATGTGAAAAACAGAACTCATTTTAAACGATGGCCAGAGCGGAGGTTTGCCGTCATGATAATACTAACAACAACTAACAACATTTTATGATTAGATGCAGACAGCACACAGCTGACTTATTTTGCCCTCAGGAGTTGCTTATATCTGTTCTGGGGCAAGACAGAATTTTTCTCAAGTACAAACACAAATATAGGCTTTGCACCGTCACGTGACCCCTATAGCAACGGTACCTACACCGCCATGACACTGGGCACGCTATGCCATTGACTTCAGTAGCATCGGAGCAGGTTTTGTTGTGTATTTGGTTGTTCTAGACGCTCTGAATGGGATAAAACGATTCATTTCTTCACTATTCCTCTGGAAATTACTCATCAGGAGCTCAAACAAGGGAATTATTGAAAAAAAATAACACAGGAATTATGTCTAGAGAACATAAACCGCGAAGAGATTTCCTATGGTACCATCAAGACACACTCACATCACTTTCATCAAGGTATTTGCAATTTAAATTGTTTCATAGCTTATTTAATGAAAGAAGCACATTTACTGAACTAAAATTTAAAAAGAAAAGATTTGCAGTGTGAGTGGCAGTAGAAACTGTATCTTCCAGCGCACATATAAACATGTCACTCGTCGTAGGACCCATGTTTTCTTTATTGTCTTGCTTATCCACAACTATGTCTTCTAGAATTAATCGCTTTTTGTGAGCGGATCTTTCTAACGTTCTTGAGGATCTGTGTATGTCGATTCTTTCGAGGTTCGGCTCACAGACTCTTCGACTCGTGCGCCATGTTGATCATAAGAGCCCAATGTGAGTTCGTTGAATCGTAAACTAGTGCGGGTTTTCCTGGATAAATTAATGAAATTTTAGTTCAGTAAATGTGTTTCTTTCATTAAATAAGCTATGAAACAATTTAAATAGCAAATACCTTGATGAAACTTCGGGTGTCTTGATGGTACCAGAGGAAATCTCTTTGTGGTTTATTTTTGCTAGCTATAATCCGCGTCTTTTTTTCGATAATTCCCTTGTTTGAGCTCCATGATGAGTAATTTCCAGAGGAATAGTGAAGAAACGATTCATTTTATCACTTTTAGAGAGTCTAGAACAGCCAGATACACAACAAAACCTGCCCATGTTTCTCGATGCTACTGAAGTCAATGGCAATAGCGTGCCCGGTGTTGTGGCGGCGTAGGTACCGTTGCTATAGGGGTCACGTGATTGTGCAAAGCCTCTATACAAAGATAAAAGTCGGGTAAAGAACAGGTATGCACCAGTACCGATACTGATCTCGAATATCAGCACCAGTTCTGAAAAATTGGCTGTATCTAATATTGGTTCCATGATAACAGTTAAGTAGATATCCTGGTTGGTCCTTTAATTAGATGTAATAAGTCTCATAATATTTTAAATTTTCTTCATACAGTTCTGTAGTTTGAAGAACAGTACACATATCTTAAATCTTTAATAACTTAGCAGTGTTTTGAGGAAATAAGTATGTACATTTTATTGATCCCTATGGATAATTCTCTGCATTTGACTCGACCTTTGGGACATTTAACAGGAGCCGTGTTCAGGCGTACCCTCTCTGAAGGATTATGGCTATTGTCCATGTCTATATGTCCTCTGGAGCAACATAAATTTGAGCTGTGCAACCTTTTATTTTTTAAGTTTTCACTTTTGTAACATCAACCTGCCTGGGGGTCTGCAGATGGAAATGATCCCAAGGCTAATCTGTCTTATTTACACTTTTCAATTCTTATAAATAAATACAAAGGAAATAAACATTGCAAAACCAAGTGAACAGTTTGCTTCTGTTGCTTTGGCAGAAGTTTGCGCTGTTATACTTGCCCTGTCACAAACATTGTCACTGTAGTTTTAGAATGAATATGATTTAGGGATGTAAAATTAATTTACATCATATCAAAATCTTGGACAAAATTAGTGAATCGCAAAGCCTGCAATTTGTGAAGTAAAAAGTAGCTCCCTGTAGTTTAGATCCAAACAAGCATGTTCTGAAATATGATTCTTGCATTAGTCAGTTCATGTTTTAGTCTTTTTGTCAATTCTTCTGGACATGTTTAAAATGTGAACTTTGAACAGAATCCTATTATTAAAACATAAATCAGAGCGCTTGTCAGAAAACTTGCAATACATATTTTTTTTCTCAAAATGGTGCAGCCTAAATATGACCTTTTAAATGTTTGTTTTACCTCGACTCGGAGCTGGATGTCGTCATCTCTGACTTTGCAGCACTTGAGGAAGCAGTTGGACTCACTGAAGTTTACCACCACAGGCATCCCGCTGGTCTTGTTATCAGACTTATCAGACTTGTAGTAGTACAGGGTGACCCGCTCTGAAAGCATTCAATATTTATTTTTATTTCAGAAAAGTAAAGTAAACTATTTATGTGTCATTATTTTAGTCAGTATAATTTCTCCTCTGACAGTGAGTGTTGAGAAGAATACTAAATACTGAATACCTGCACTGCGTTTTAGTATAACACAATCTGGCCAGAAGGCACTGACTTAGGCTATGTTCAGACTGCAGCCCGAAGTGACCCAAATCCAATATTTCGGCCCCTATGTGACCTGTATCTGATCTTTTAATGACAGTCTGAACGATACAGATTTGATTTTTTCAAATGCGACCCAGGCCACTTGGATATGTGCTCCTGAAACCGATACATATCCGATCTTTTGACATGTGACTTCAGTCTGAACGGCCAAAGTGCATTCATCCGACCTACACGTTATCAACAAGCCACAAACGTCACTATTCTGCGCTGAAGTAGGTGGAAAACTGTTAATGAACTCCGTGTCACTGAAGCGAAGCACATCACCACTCACCACTCTTGGCTACATCTCCACATCCACACGTTCCTTTCAACGGACGTCGCTGCCACTGCCCCACGAAACGGCATGACCAAAAACCTTGTCCTTCTTCTCAGTCTCCTTAAAACAAGTAAGTTGTTCATGTTCTGACTCTGGTATGAGAGGAACTTTAAAATCGCCAGGTGCTCAATGCTCGCGTCCATGTTTGGACAACTTCCGTAAACACAGAGCACGCTCTCTGCGGTTGACGACATTGTGTCTCCAGTGCACATGCGGGACACTTTTGGGCCGTTTACTGTTCACACTGGAGATCACATACAAGTCACATTTATTTGGAAATGTGAACAACCTCGCAAAAACATCGGATTTCACAAAAAAATCGGAATTGAGCATTAAGCCCTGCAGTCTGAACATAACCTTAGTAACTACAACAGTTGAGATGATTTGTGCTGTTGAAAAAGTCTCTCACACATTACATCAATCACAAGTCAGCTAGTATTAGCCAGCAGTTTCAGAGTTGATCACACGCACACTAACCCAGGCTTGTGAAAATGTGTTGTTTAAAACCATTTTCTATTTTTTCTTAAGTTTTCAGACTATCTAAAAACTTAAAAAGCTACAGTATCTTTGCTAATGTGTGCATTATGTCACCATAGTGACAGCTGAACATTCTGCCATAGTCATGCATGTAGAGCTCCTGGTTTAGTATGAATACACCCTTAATATGTCCAGAGAACACAGAGAAGACATGATGCAAGCAAAATATATCATCTGAACAGAACAGAAGGATGTGGTTTATAGTGTGTTCAGTGTATTCATCACCCAAAGCGCAGTGAAAAAACAGTACATGGGTGAGTGTGTGGTCCTTTGTTATAGAGTGTGTGATGGTTTTACAGTTTAGATGTGAGAGAGTTGGAGTTGGTAGGCCGATTATTTTTGTGGTAAAATATGTCCATATTAATACTGGCTGTATTTAGTAAATTCCCACACTGGCCAACAGCAGATCCTTGTGGTGGGTCAGACCTGGGTAATCGGACATGTAGACCTGCTTCTGGTCACACAGGCAGTGGAGGTATCGAAAAGTCTGAGTCGTCACCTCGACCTCGTTGAACTTAAGACACCGGAAAGAGCCTCCTCCTCTGGGAACTGAAAAAAGCAGAGCACCATATGTGTTAGACAAGGCTGAAAGTGAAACTACATTACAATGACCACAAAAAACAAAATCTGAAACTACAGGTAAAGTGCAGAACACAACAGAGGACAAAAAAAAAATGTTGACATGTTTGAAAAGTAGAAAGAACTTATTTAATGCTACTAAAAGCTCTGCAGAAAGACTAAGTGTAACTGAAATATAAAAAGATGCTTTAAATAGGAAAAAAAAGAACATTAGGTTTAATATACAGTATGTATGATTGTAGCTATAATAATATTATGTGAATGAGTCATCAATATATTAGCAGAATGAAATGTAAACAATTTATCCAAAATTACAGATGTCTTTAGACTGGAGTCTAAAGACAAAACAAAACTTTCCTAGAGTTGCATCTTTTTGTGTGTTTTGAGACTAAGATGTTTACTATGCCAGTCTGTGAGGAACGTGAATGCAACCCAGAAGCATCTAGCAGGAAGAGTTTCTGAGATCTAGAGGATTTTTTTCAAAAGGTCTGTAGTAAAGGCCAGTTTATTACCTGTTGGAACCACCTACCTGAAGGGAGTGCTTCTCACAGTTTCAGACATCAACTCAGGGTCACTACAGCTCATTTTTGTAATTTTCATAGAACAATATTCTACATACGAACCACCATGTATGCTAGCTGGAATCTTCCACTTTACCATCATCATTAACTCCAAGAAGAATTTGTTATTTTCAATATAATCATTCTAATATATTCATTTTAATTCAAATGTAATTTCAATCACCAAAGTATCCATAAGAGGAGTTAATACACTATAGTTGGTGTGTTATTGCAGTCTTTTACCTAGTGCCTTGTGAGTTCTTCGTATGTGTGTGAAGAATCGCTCAGTCGTCCAGGTAGAATCCATGAGGAGAAAATTCAGTTTGTCGACTGGACAAAAGTTAGTTTGGTTGAAGACGTTTCACAGCTCATCCAAGCTGCTTCTTCAGTTCTGGGCAGATGCTGGTGGACGCTTCCTTATATCTGCAGGGAGGAACTAACTAACTGAAACTAACACACCTACTTGTTTACAGTTTCTGTTTGTTAGGCCTATTGACCTGTACAGATCTGTACCTCACTGTCCTCAAATGAGTGACCGGTGGCCTTTAAGTGGAGATGTATAGCAGACTACTTGCAGCAGTGGACCTCAGTCTGTACATCTCCACTTAAAGGCCACAGGTCACTCATTTGAGGACAGCGAGGTACAGATTTTAGCCAGAGAGAAACATTGGTTTGAGAGGGGAGTGAAAGAAGCCATTTTTGTTAAGAAAGAGAATCCTTCTCTAAACAGAAATGGAGGCCTCAGACACCATCTATCTCCTATTTACAACTCCATCCTCAAAACTAATTCAAAACAAACAAGAGAACAACAGGTGTAGCCAGGTGAGGTTCAGAGGTGTGGAAGCTCCATTATGGCCATGAATTGTTATGCTAATTAGACCCCACACCCTGTACAGGACAAACGTCTTCAACCAAACTAACTTTTGTCCAGTCGACAAACTGAATTTTCTCCTCACTTCTTCGTACGTGCTTGTATTTGTTTTTAAACTGACCAATATTAAGATTGGACATTGTCTCAGAAGGATCCATTCCAGCTGGGACAACCATAGACATATGCATATAATAAAAAGACATGACGTTTGATGCTAATGCTAATGTTAATGCTATGACCACTTTGCAACTCAACTAGTCTGACAAGATTTTGCAACACCGGAGCCAGTCCCCTGTATTTTTTCCTATAGCCACAAAAAGGGCAAATTATGACTAATCAAGAGGGTATAAAATGATGCCAACGCACTGACCACATTTAGGCGAGGACAAAGTCTTGTGTCTAAACCATTTGGCATTTTATTAATGTGTAAAAATAGCATCTGAGCTAACAGCTAACCAACCTCCAGTGGTGGTTTTGGTAAACACCAAACCTCCTCTTTTACACGTGACTGTTGAGGAGAGCAGATACATGACATAAATATCTCAAAATACTACACCTTGAACTAAACCTAGACCATAAGAAAAACTTAACCAGGCCTTAACCAGGACAAGTGCAAACTCACCAACACTCAACATGATCACTTAGTATTAGTCTGTGTAGTCTAGCATTTATTAATATTAATATTTTATGGGAAGTGTGACTCACCTAGTGTGACGGAGCTGGACTCAGTCATCATGACGATGTCGTTGTATTTGCACTCATCTTGTGAACACTCGTAGCAGTGATCTTTGGGGTCACAGCTCCTTCCAGTTATCACAGAGATTGTGGTTTTCATCATCGACACCACCAGGAAGTCACTCTGCTCATCGTCCTCTGTACACTCATCCTCTTCACCTGCAGAAGCATTGGTAGGTTTTTTTTCTTTTTTCTCTTATTTTATAAAATATAGAGAGAAGGATTGCGTCTGTATTGATGCCTTACCTGCTTATAACAAAGATAGTGTTTTTTTTCCAATTGCATTCAATTCACACAAAACATAAAAAAATGCATTAAGAGACAGAGGCCCTTGTACTTTTTCTTAATTTCTTTTTGTCCACCATGTGATAAAAGGGAGCTATCAAGCTCATGGCATGTAAAACATTAATGGAAAGCTGTAACCCACTTATTTTTCAGTCATTTCAACCATTCTGGAACGAATCAGGATCAGTTTGTACTCCAAGCCCATGAATTAAAATCTAACCCTAAGATCAAAATCTGATATTCCTCAGTGCAGAGCTTGTTCCACTTATAGCCTATTGAGGGTAGATCAAACAGCAGAGTTTAAAACTACAGAGCCTCAGCTTCACAAAGAGCCCAGCCATTTGTTTGTACTCCAGAGAGTTCAGACACTGAATCAGTTTGAATTAGGAGTCATTTTAATTAAGCATTTTAGGAAAAATAGGCCAGAACTGAGGTTTTTAATGAAACAGAACAAGATGAGGAAACAGATTTATATTTTTAAACTCACAAATTTACCGTATTACTGTGTGACTGTGGAATGCCTGACTGAATGTTGCTTACCTTTCCCTGTGGGTAGAAGGTTTTCTTGTTCTTGTTCCTCCTCTCTCCTCATCATCCGATTGAAGCACAGTATACGCTCTTCTTTAGAGATTGGAACCATCACATCTTCATCTGAAGGCTTCTTTTCCACGGGCTGCTTCTTCCTAATCGTCTTATGCAATGTCTGACCACAACAACATATCAACAGTAATTATTTGGATCTGTTAACATTTACATGCTCCGTAGACAATGCATCAAACCAGCTCATTTCATCCACCTGGACTCCCTCTACACCAGGATCCTGTTTGTGGATTTCAACTCATTCAACACCATCCTCCCTGCTCTACTCCACCTCTTTCTGCTCAACCTGCCCAACTCTACCTGCCCGGGGAGCTCTACCTCTCTGAAAGACTGGAGTCAGCATATGTGGATAAGGAAAAATGTCTCCACAGAGCTGTGTACTTTCCCCCTGCTCTTCTCTCTGTACAACGAATGCACCACCTCTGCGTAAAGCTGGTCAAGATTTCAGGTGGCACCACTCTCATCAGGCTCTTCATGGACGACGATGAGTCCTGCAGGAGGGAGGTGGATTGGCTGTTGACCTGTTACCGTGGCAACAACCTGAAGCTCAATGCCCAGAAGACAATGGAGATGATGGTGGACTTCACAGCCCCCCGTCCCCCCTCGCCCTGACTGACACCCTGTGGACTATCTCTCTTCCTACTTCATGTTTCAGGTGAAGAAAGCAAAGTTGCCAGACCAAATCACGGTGCAGATATACACGGCCATCACTGAGTCCATCCTCACCACCTTCATCACGGTGTGGTACCCCGGGGTCACTGCCAGAGACAGAGGAGGTCATCGGGTGCAGTCTCCCATCTCTGTACGTCTCCAGGACTCCGGGGCAAGAAGGTTGGACCAGAGCTGACCTGTGACCCTTTTGAATGAGTTACCATATCTCCTGACCCGCTGCCTGGTGTCATTAAATCTTTATTTTTAGAGCCCTTTACATCACTCAAGGTGACCAAAATGCCAACAAGCACAATCAGAGACAGCGACCTGGTCCCCCATGAGGCATCGGTGGTGGCAGTTCATCACCACGGAAGCAGCTTATGAGGAGCCCAGCCCATACCCTGGTAATGTGTGTGCCAGCTTATGTGATGACTGGGTGAATATTTTAGCTCGCAGATGGTTCAGAAATTGATGAAATTGCCGATCCTTTATAATGGCGTGACCTTTCAACTGACCCATGTGACCTCAAATGACCTTGGATCATCACCAAACTTTTTTTTGCGGCATCGGGCACGGGGGCTTGACCCACGTACCAAATTTGGTGTCAGTCAGTCCATAAATGGTGGACTTATCGCGGGTGGACAGACACACAGACACACAGGGTGAATACAAAACCTGGTCAACCCTTCGGGGACCAAGTAATAAAATCAGCACAATATAAAAACATGCAAAACATGAAAAAATGAAATAAAACAAAATACAAAACTTGACTTCAGTACTAATTTTACTAAGGTGCAGTTGTTCAAATAGATTAGAGTGGATATAGGGCAGTCTCACCAGCATGGGGCTGCCCTTGGCCAATATTTCTGCCAGCTGCTCTGGAGGCACATCCTCTATTTCACTGTTGTTCACCATCCTCAGCCTATCTCCTCTCCTGAAAAGCACCAAATACATTATTACTATTAAAATCACAAGAGAGGGGTTCAATCCTTTTTTTTTTTTTGTTTTGTTTTTTGGGTTTCTTTCTACCTCCAAAATCCAAAAACACTGTCTTATTTTGATGGGTTCTTAAGTTTGTTTTTGTCATCTGTCTGTCTGTTAGTGTCAGTGAATATCTGTAATTTTTGCCTCTCAAAGACTCTATCTCCATCATGTGTGTGTTTCAACTGTGGGCCCAGACAGAACATAGGCATCAAACGCCATGTCAGTTTTAGAGGTTGGGGGAAACCAAAGCAAACTACATTGTATGCAAGCACTTCAGGGGTGAGAAGGGTTATCTCTCTTGCCCAAGGACACAATGGCAGCATTCATCTAGGGCAGGGGTGCCCACACTTTTTCAGCATGTGAGCTACTTATAAAATGACCATGTCAAAATTATCTACCTAATACAAAGCCAAGCAAACTGTAGGCCTACTGCACTGAAACATCCTGCACCCCTTTTTGGACCCTCACCCACAGTTTGAGAACCCCTTTTAAGAGAACTTTCTCTGGCACTTTACAGAAAAATTTGAAAAAAAAAAAATGAAGAAATGGGACTGGATTTGTATACCTGTTTGTTCAAGTTCCTAACTGGAGTTACATTTTCTTACTGTTTTTGCAGTGGGATTTAACAGCCTTTGCACATTTACCGAACGCACATAGTGACAAATACAGATGCATTTGTGCACTTTTATTAAGCAAACTTCAACCACATGTCACAGTAGATCTGTTCTGTGCTGTAGGCATCCTCTGTGCCAACACTGTAACATTAATTTAGGTTAGTTTTTGCTTCGCATTTCGTCTTGCTCTTTTAATCAGTGCGCATTGAGGAGGGAGATTGTGTGCACTATACACGGGGAGGAGCGAGAGCGTGAAAAGGCGAGGGGCGGCGTGCTGACGTGAGGCAGATGGACAGGTAGTATGTTTTAAAAGTTTAACCTGCCCTGTGATACACGCTGGTACACGAGGGCGCATGCTGTTGCAGACAAGGCGCGCGCAGGGAGTGTGTTTGTGATGTGCCGCACAGTATCCGCGGGTTCCACTGAGCGCTCAGGCTGCAGTGAGACTGCGCGATCCCGCACATAAAAAATTACCCCCCCGGGAATTTGAAACCAGCTCGACAAGTGCAATCATATTTCATTACAGCTACTGCTATCAGCAATAAACTTGTGCCGGTGTAAAGGTTTCAAACTACCCCCAGTTTCAAATTACCGGGGGTTAGGGTTACGGTTAGGGTTAAGGCGGGGTAGCGTTTTCAAATTACCGGGGGGTAATTTCAAACCAGCTTCAAGCTACCCCCGGTAGTTTGAAACCAGGGGTAGTTTGAAACCTTTACACCGGTACAAGTTTATTGCTGATAGCAGTAGCTGTAATGAAATATGATTGCACTTGTCGAGTGTCAAACCTCGAGTGAGAGACAAGATCGAGTCCAAACGCTATCAAGTCCGAGACGAGTACTATGACACTTCGATCTACCCACACTAACTTGGGGATCGACTGGTAGATTGCAATCGACGTATTGGGCACCCCTGATCTAGGGGGAGCTGGAATTGCATTGCCAACCTGTAGGTCAGTGGCTTTGACCATTTTACCACTCAGCTACTACAAAAACCACTCATATAACACGAAACCACTCAACTACCATGAAAACTCCCCAACTACTATGATACCATGAAAAACACTCAGCTCCGTGAAAAACCACTCAGATAACACAGAAACTACTCAACTACTATGGAAACCACTCAACCACCACGGAAACCACTCAGATAAAATGAAACTAAAAATGAAAATAACACGCTACTGCCTGATTTAGAACCTTATCTTATTTGGCACCATTTTTCAAACCTTGTGTGCCCAGATACATTGGTTGTTCGATCCAACTTTCTCTCGGGGTACAGATGTTTTACAGAGGCTGTGTACAGCAGACAGAATATTTAATGAACACATTTTAAAAAGTTAAACAAGTTAAATTAAAAAGGGACCAAATCTGGTAATGGCAGTTGCCCCTCACCTTGTTGTCTGTGACTGAAGCTATCTTTTTTGTTTTTGTTTTTTTAATAAGATTTTTAAAGCGGAAGAAAGAACCTAATCTGAGTACTGGAAAGATCAACTCCTAACCCATAAAACTTTTTATGACTTTGTATTCAAATATTTGAGTAAAAGACAAAAAGATAATCATTACCGGATGAAATATTCCTCTTCTTTTTTCCTTTTTCCTTTTTGTTTGATGACACTCTTAACTTCATACTGGTGCTTTCCTTCAGTGAACTCGTGGACTAACAAGACACCTCCATCCACCGGGGAATCCTGCAATGTATAATAAGATTAGCTATGGTCTAGTCCACATTCAGTCCTAGTTTGGTCTTGGTTTAGTCCTGCATGAGTCTGGTTGGGTCGTGATTAGTCCTGGTTTAGTTCTACCTGTTCCTGATTTTGAACAGTTAAGAGCATTTCGCCCACCTAATGCTTTTTCTAATTCTAAAAAAAAAACTTTTATTAGTCTGATTGGCTTTAATTAGAATAATAGCCCGTCCCTTATAGTAGTTCATACTTTTTTTTTTCTCTTTTTATTTCACAAATCACAGCTTGCATAACTAATTTCACTTTTTTAATCATGGGTTGTGTGAGTAGTCCCATTTAATTAATTTATATCAAAATAATACATTCTTATTTACTTTTTCTCTCGATATATTTTCCTGGAAAGGCAGTTAGCACACAATCTGCCAGTAGTGTTGCAATACTGTAACAAACTGATCTGTTAAGCTGGGCACGTGATCGATCGGCAGTGAGCTGGACAGGAGGACACTGGACAAACCGCTCTCCATCACGGACACTCCTGCTCACCCATTGCACCAGACTGTACAGGGACAGAAAATACTCCCTACAACTGTACAACAACTCACCCACTGCACCAGACTATAGAGGAACAGAGGAGCTCATTCTCCGACAGTGAGAGATACAGGACTACATTCAAACCATACTCCATACAAGTCACGTTTATGTCACATATAATACTCCCTACAACTATACAACAACTCACCATTATGTAACAGATAACCCTATGTCCTGTCAATCATCGTATCATCTTCGCACCATATTTGCTTGTATATTGCTGAGACATTTTTATTACTTATTTCTATTGCATTTTTACGTTCACTTGTACTTATACTTTATCTAATTGTGTCTTATTTGACACCAGTCTCTTGATATTTTTGCTACTTATTTAGAATTATTACTATTTATATTTTTACTCTTTGTTATTATATTATATTGTAATGTGTGAGCTACTGTGTCCAAGTAATTTCCCTTGTGGATCAGTAACGTTTGTCTAAGTCTAAATAAGAGATATATCACTGCAGTCAGCTGACACCTCTGACTTTGCTACTGACAAAACATGTCACGTAAATGAGATATTTTCTTTGTGTTCTCTGCTAATTAGACAAACATTGTACAAAGTATTGTTATAAAAAAAGAAGACAAAATTAATTTTCTAAACATAAGTAACACATAGTAACACGACCGGTCAAAAGTTTTAGAACAACACACTTTTTTCCAATTTTTTACTGTTTACTACTGACCAAAACATATTCTAAACTTTTGATTCATGAAAGCGTCCACCTTTGGCAGATATAACAGCTGAACACACTCGTTCTTTTTACAATAGAAATCAAATATTCTTCAGAAAGTTCTTCCCAAGTCTTTTGCAGAAGTTCCCATAAATGTGTGGCACTTGTAGGTTTCTTGACTTTCACTCTTCTGTTCCAGTTCATCCCAAACCAGCTCAGTGGGGTTTAAGTCTGGAGACTGTGCTGGACACTCCATGTTTTCAAGTTTACCATCTTTTTTCTGAGGTAGGCAGAGCTTCGAGCTTGTGTTTTGTTATCTTTTATCTTTTTTTTTTTTTTTTAACCTCTGACTGTTCAGTTCTTACCTTTGTACCATTTCAAGCTCTTCTTTGGACTTGCACGACTTGAATTGCAATAAATAACTGGGAAAATTAGGGTGTTCTAAAACTTTTGACCGGTATTATAAAAAAAACAAAAAAGATTTGGGATGAAGCTAAATCAAAACCAGGATGTAAATTACATTAAATCACCAGTTATGTCTTACCTCCATGATGCCTTCGCTCAGATTTCAAGCTGGAGCGTGAAGTTGAAAAGTCAAGACTAGAGCATAAAAACAGTGAACACTTCTGCTTTTTCCCTGAAGAAGAGGAAGTGGTCAAAAAGTGCCTTGGGAGAACAGGAAGCAGAGGCTCAGATGCCCATAATGCCTTTTCAAAAAATTCATATATCAAGAGTTCAAAAGCTTAGCAGAGGCGGTGGCAGTTCTACCTGAGCAGAAGTGAACCAGTCACATGTTAACAAATATTCATGACGCGATTAGGACATTTAAAACAATTGGTTTAATAAATTAGCAATTTATAAAGTTTCAGAAACAGATGTTAAAGGTCCCATATTACGCAATTCTATGTTATGTTATTTCCTCGTCCCAAACATACCTGAAGTTGTGTTTTGTTTCTTTCACACATGTTGATTAACACACAAACCGTGCATATTTAGGCTTTATTTTTTATTCATTTATTTATTTATTGTTTTTATCTATTTTATTTTTTAGCACTGCTTTTATGTATTGATTTTATTATTTTTGGCACTTTGGAAACGGTTTTGTTTATAAAATGTGCTATACAAATAAAGTTGGATTGGATTGGAGTGGATTTAGTTCTTCTCTCAAACAGAAAACACTCTGTTCCACTTTGTGATGTCATTGGTCTTGGTCATACAAGAAGCGTCACACTGTGTTTTTAAACTCCATACACTTTCATTAGAATAATTTGGACAATTTCAGCCATGGAATTCCTAGTCTTTATGGAACAAAAAGTAAAAAAGTACTTGTTAACTTGAAGACTACTAATTCATGACATCACAAGGTGGAACGGAGCATTTTGAGCTTTGGAGATGTGGACAGATTAATAATAAATACTAAAAAATAAACTCTAACATGTGTAAATGAAACAAAACAGGTATATTTTTGATGAGGTAATCATTTATAACATGGCTAAAAGTTCAGAAGAATTTGAGTAACAATAGTGTTCTGTTTACTATGTGGCTAATTAACTTCCAGCTATTGTTTTATGCCTCATTTAAGATGCTCATTCAAAAGAGGGAGCCTTTGTGGCATTTCGTTTATGCATTAAACACGCCTCAAACAACTGTATTTTTAATCAAGCCCTGATGAAGACCAGTTAAGGTCGAAACATGTTGGCTTTGGCCATTCAAATAAAGGCCTTTTAATTATATTTTTCCTCGTGCAATGTGTTAACTTTTTCTACTGTTTTGGAGTGCCTGGAATCCGTTGTGTCTTGAGTTTTGATCCTTTTTTCCAAGAGCACCCTTTATTTGCTCCTACTGATTGGAACACCTGCAGCAAACAGCCACATTTTTGTTCTTTCTGCATAGATTCAACTGTATTTTGTGTCAACTTCTTGTCTTACAAGAACATTTTGGATTACAGAGGATGTTTAATTGGTCTTTTGCAACTGATGCCATCATTATTTCCTGGGTGAGGCTAACAGGAGGCACTGCTCTGTCTGAAGCTGTTACTCAAGTTAGACTTTAATCTGCGCTTGGTTTTAACACAATCTGAACATAAAGAAGTGATTTAGTTGGAGGTATAGCAGGTGAGCAGCTCTGTTCTGTTGAGCAAGTCCCTCTCAAATAACACTTGCATTGGACAACAACTTTTGAATGAGTCGCCTGCACCGTTTTTATTAAAAATCAGAATTAAAACTTGACAGTGTTTGCTAATGTGTGCATTATGTCCCCATGGTAACTGTCGATCCCCCGCCTCTGCACGGTCACGGCTGAATAGTTTGGGCGTAAACAAGTCGACTGTCTCTAAAACAATTACAGTGAGAGTAATTTAATACTTACCCATAGAAACAGGAAGTTAGAAATGGACTTCCTCTTTGCCTGCACACCTCATGTTACAATAAACAATCAAGTGTAAGTCATCATCACTCGTGTGTCAACATGTCAACGGTCATTTTCACTGAGGTGGATTCTCTAATGGGGAAATACCACGCCATAAATTGCCAACTGTAAAATAATATAACAAATTGGGATAATGTTTGGGATCCATCTCCAGAATTTGAGTCAGGTTCATGGTCAGAGGTCACAACCTTCTTTTTGGAAGACAGTGTCGCCTTAGTCTCCATGGACTATAATGAAACACAGATTTTTTTTATTTTTTTTTTAAAGACAAAATAAGTGTGATGTTTGTGTGTACTTGGACATGCCGTGGTTTGGTCACAACAAAGAGACACCTTCACCAGACACCACCAGGGAGCGTGGCCGGACTTGTCAGATCAACTGATAAAACATCACAGCAGTCGGAGAACATTTCTGAGCGAAAGAAGGCAGCTGATGGCCTGATTCATCAGCCGGTTTCATTTCGTATAGAAACCGTCTGACCTCGCAGCGTTAGGATTCGTTCACTTGATGGTAGGCGGGTACTTTTTTATTTAACCAATTGCTGGTATAATGTCATGATGTATGTAATGTGCCGCTAACGAGGCTAACTGGTATATTAAGCTTTTCCCAAATCCCATAGGAAGAAGGGCAATAACGTCTTTCTCCTTGATAAAATTCACCAAACATTCTCTCTGTTCTGGCTTTAAATCCTCGATCTCGGGAATCGTTGTCAGCATAGAATGTATGTCTCTTCACTGATGGCTATAATGTTTTTTTTATGTTTACCACTACAAGTTTCAGCTGTCTAGCCAGGCTGGCGACACCTAGTGCGCCATTTCTCTCCAGTGACTAGGTCATAATACACTAGACGGTTTGCAAGAACTCTGGAAGTTGGAGACTGCACACTGACCAATCAGCGAAGAGCTGGTAAGCCATGACTGGGTCCCTTTTTGTGGTACAGCACAACAGTAAACAAAGTGGGTCCAGATGGATGTAGACAAAGAAGCCATACATTCCACAATGATTCCCAAGACCAAGGATTTAAAGCTGGAATAAAGAGAATGTTTGGTGAATTTTTATCAAGGGGAAAGACGTTATTGTCCTTCCTGCGGGATTTGGGGAAAGGTTCATATACCAGTTAGCCCGTTAGAGGTGCATTACATATGTCACGGCCAAATAGCAGCGATTGGTTAAATAAAAATAGTACCCACCTACTGTCGAGCGAACAAATTCTAATGCTGCAAAGTCAGACAGTTTTCACAAAGTGAAACCAGCTGATGAATCAGGCTAACAAACAATAACTTGTTGCTAAAAGTGAGTTCTTTTGTGCTTCGCTTGTAAGTTGAAAAAGTTGAAAGTTAGCGCTGCTGTTGTCTCCTGCTGCACATGCGCACTCACTAGAAATCTCCTCACATCTTTGATTCACATGGATGATGATCACGGATCTATTAAAATGAATGAAACAAAACACAACTCCAGGTCTGTCTGTGAAGAGGAAACAACATTATGAGTAAGGCCCTTTAAAACATTCATAATAAATTCATAATGAAATGCCCAGTGTCCCAGTCACATGTAATCTCTGACTATTTGGATACTGGGGTGAGTGTGTGTTACTACACACACACATACATAGGCGCACACATGCGCACATGCACACACACACACCCACACCCACACACACACACTTTACAGGAGCTATTTGTAGATTCACTGAGGAGCCTGTCAAGCTAAATATGTCTCCCTCCTCAAATTACACAGGGCTACGGCATGGTCAGTTCTGGTGTAGTCTCGGTTCAGTTCTACTTCAGTACTTTGTTCAGTTCTGTTTGGGCACCAGCGTGTCCCAGTGAAGTCCAGTTTTGGTCCTGTTACAGACTTTGTTTAGTCCTGCTACTTTCGGCTCAGTCGTGGTTGAGTTTCGTCTTTAGTCTTGGTTTACTCCTGGTTGAGTCCATGAGAATCCGCTTTAGACCTGGTTTGGTTCTGTTTTAGTCCTGGATTTATCCCTGGCTGTGTTGGCAGAGTTGATTACAGAGAGATATGGTCAGAGAAACCACGCTTCAACCACCACAGACCTCCACTGACACAGAGGTAAGTGACTAAACACTATTCATTTTGTTTTCAAGAGGAAGATTAAAGGTCCTATATTACACAAAAACAACTTTTTTGAACTTTCATGTTATAATGTTACCTCATCAAAAACCAGACCTGGAGTTGCGTTTAGTTTCATTCACACATGTTTGAGTAATCCGTCTTTATTACTCTGTCCACATCTTCAAAGCGCCAAATGCTCTGTTCCACTTTGTAATGTCGTGGTAGTTTTCAAGTTAACAACTTTTACCTTTCAGTTCAGTAGAGATCGGCAATTCCAGGGCTGAAATCATCCAACTGATTCTACTGAAGGTGTATGTAGTTTAAAAACACAGTGGAGCACATGACATCACAAGATGGAGAAGAGTGTTTTCGGTTTGAAAGAAAAACTCAGCCTAAATATGCAGGATTTGTGTGTCAAACAATGAGTGAAATAAAACACAACTCCAGGTTTGTTCTGATGAGGAAACAACACTAAAGCACAAATCAGAAAATAGTTTTTAAACCAGAACTAATTTATTCAGAACAAACCCAGATCATAACCTGACTTAAACCACCTTCATCTGCAACTTACTCGTGCCCAATAAAGGACTAAAAATAAAATAACTTATCTATTAAAGTTCAGATAATATTTTTATCCCTAAAACTTAATGTAAGTTTGCTTTGCCTTGAAAATCCCATGATATGGCATTACACATATCCATCTTACATCGTAAACCCATAGAAGTTATTAGAACTCCAAAAAAAAAAAAAAAAAAGACAGAGACAAAAGAGAGAGACAATCGATTGCCTCAATTATTTTAAACTTAGACGAACTTAAAATTCACAGTCTTCCAGAATTTAAAAGGTTAAATGGTTTGCTACTTTTGCTCTTTTTTTTTTTTTTTATAACAGCTGAATTAAAAGTGCTCATTCAGCTCAACTATAGGTGAGTTTCATTGTTGACAAAAGCGCGCGTTGCATGCTGGGAATTATTTTGGTCAGCGGCAAGAAACACTAATTCAACATGACGGACGGAGCGAGAAAGCACGTAAAGGGTTTTGATCCCGGTTATTTATCCAGTCTAACGGCAGAGGACCCAAGACCATTTGACCAGAAATTGGTCATAAGCATCGACAGACGCCAAATCACCCTTTTCAACCCCTACAAAAGGTGGACAAAACCAAATTTCTGGTCAGAATCGCCAACAACCTGGCTAAATATTCACTTCGGTGATATCCACAATGACTTGGTGGAAACTCCTGGGCCATTCACAGCAGAAAAGATTAAAACCTCCAAGAGTCTCGATGCGTTGTTGAACTTGTTGGAGTCCACGGTTTAATTCGCCGTTAGCGGTTCTTTTCACTCAGAATACGAAAAAGACATTTTCCTTCTTCCGTGCCTCTATTTGTGCATCCGATAATGCAGCAGGAATTTACCATTATCGGGATAAATACGCAAGGTTACGCATTGTGTTTGACCGCTATCGTGTGTCTTGCCCCCGACCAAAATATTTCCCAGCATGCAACGTGGGCTTTTAATAACAATGACGTCAGCTGAAACTCGCCTATTTGCAGTTAGAGTTTTCAAACCACTGGAATTTTCAGTTTTGTGTGTAGTTCATGATTTTGTACACACAATCCAGTACATCCAGTTGTATCTACACACATTATTGTATACATATAGACACATCATAGTATATTTACATTATACACACCATAGGAGGGGGATTTGAACACAGGGTCCCCACGTGAAAGGAGATTTACCAGATGAGCTACTCGGCTGATCGCAACTACACACAGTAAATTGTACAATATAGTACACATATATTATACTATAAACACATGATATTATACATATAGAGATTATATATATTTTAGATCATACACACCCTAGGAAGAGGATTTAAACCCAGGGTCCCCACAAGAAAATCAGGGGATTTACTAGTCTAATAAACATTATACATAAGGTTGGGCAAAATAAATAAATAAAATAAAATCGCACAAGTTCCTGATTAATTAAGATTAATCGCATGTTATACGCAAAATTAATGAATTAAAAAGTAGCATTGAATGATTTGCCAGCATCAGCAGAGTGTGTTGCATTTAGGTGATATTTCAAACTCGGAAACTCCGGTGATAAGACAATTCAGCATTGCAGTGTTACAAAAGACTTTAGCTGTGTCGACTGCGCCGTCTGTAAGAACTTTAAAATAAAAATGGCCATGTAAAAGTTTCTTACCCTTCTCCATGTTTGTTTATCCTGCTTTCTTTCCCTCCGTTTTCTGTGAGCGTTGGAGCAGTAAGGAATTCTAGGCTCACTCATGATGAACTTTTTCAAAATAAAAGCCAGTGAGCAACAAATGTTTACAATGAAAAAAAAAAAAAAAACTGTGTTAAGGGGAGAAAATTAATTGTCGGCGATAATGAATTAAATACTTAACGCAAAATTAACACGTTAACTTGCCTGGCCCTAATTATATAATATGTATATAGTTTGATAATACATAATTACACATTATAGTTTACACACATAATACATTATTAGTTAAAATTACTCAAAAAGGAGAAAATGTTACAGCAACTTGACATAATTAATAATAATAATAATTTCTAAAACATTGAGTATAAACAGCTTAATCTATTTAATTATTTTGAAAGTTACAGTTTACAGTGTACATTTATTCACTTACATTTGTTTTAGTGGTAAAAAATACCTTGAAAAGCATACTAGTATTCTTTATGTGAGCGGGGTTTCCTCTCCACAGATCTGACTGATGTGTAACTTTGCATGATGGCACCAGTTGCTTGTCTCCATGTGTCATACTGTGGAACATTCCAGCCAAAACCGTATCCATTAATTCCTTACTGACGCATTTCCTGATACAAAAGTGTGTTTTTTGTATTGCAGATGATTTTGGATGTGTTGATAATCGGATCGGGGCCCCATGCTCTGACCCTCTCCACCCTGCTGTCCAGCCCAGGCTCCTCACCTCACACTGGGCACGGAGCTCCACAGTCTCCCCCGACTTTAGAAACATCCAGACTCTCCAAAACAAAGAGCAGAGGCAGGAGGAAGATCAGGACAGCAACAGGTACACACTATGATTTATAAATATACATGCTCTTTTTATTTGACTTATTTAAATATTTTCTTTGTTCTTAAAATCATTTCCTTTAAAATGTGAATGAAAAGTGAACGAGGATATGAAGTCAGTTCACTTAAACCCCCCAATTTTAGTTTTGTTTTTTAGATCAACCTAAAGTATTAAATGAAAAAAATAATAAATAGGCTATACTTAAGCTCTACATTGCATTGTATTACATATGTGTGTGTTCCGCTGTTGTTTATTCAGGGTTTGAGGTTAAGGAAGAGTTTAAAATACTGCAAAGACAGCACACTTTATTAAATAGCGCTATAATTTATATTGCACACACTATAAGCTAGTAAGTACTATATATATATATATATATATATATATATATATATATATATATATATATATATATATATATATATATATATATATATATATATATATATATATATATATATATATATATATATATATATATATATATACACACACAGTATACTGAAATCACTACAATATACATGCACATATTTCTTTATTTTGCTGACAGTTTTATTCTGCAAAATGCCGCACACTTCAAAGTCATGCCAACTGATATTTTTGTGTAGAACTAAGTAACTAAATAGAACTACCTGGGTTTGTTTTATTTTGTCTGTTTAGTTGTTACACAATACACACAAGTTACTTTAAATATTTTATTTGGTTACAACTATTCATTTGGTTACATTTCATTTACCACCACAAGTGACCGTCTTACCTGTTACTTCACATGGTCTGGAGACAAAAGAGGGGGCGTGCCCTTGGACAGATATATTTAAAGCCTCTGGGGGAGGTTTTGGGCTCTCTTTTATTTTATGGATTTTATTTGTTTGATTTACATGTTTCATTGTTTATAGTTTATTTTAAGCACTTGTGTATTTAACGGGGACTTAGGCCCTTGTAGCAAATTGAACAGTTCACTTTAAATACTAGTAAAGTGACCAGGAGAGTTAACTTGAGTTTGAACTGACCTGAAGGGAGGTACTTTCTGTGGGGGGAAACTATAATTTCAGAGCAGTTCAGTTCCTTTGGGGAATTCACCTCAGTGTAGCCGTGTACATGTGGGTTTTTCCCTAGTTTCATTAATATGTGTTGCTTTTGACTGGATCTGAGAACAGTTATTTTTTTATTATTTCATTTTTGGCACACAGTATGACAATAAGCAGCTTAGTTTTACATTTATTCAATTACAGGTGGTTTTATAGCTCAAAAATACCTGGAAAAATAAACATTCTGACTGTGAGCGAGATTGCTACTTCACAGATCTGCCCTGTAACTTTGTTTTGATCTCTGTGGCGATAGAAAGGTTTTTAATGCCATACTGTGAAACATTCCAGACAATGCAATAACATCATCTGCACGCTTAAAGCTTCACTTTCAGAAACGTTAGCAAGTTAGATCAAATATTTTTGTGTTTTTTTAATTTGTCCCTGTAGCGAGTGTGGTGGACCCTCCGTGCCCAGAGGCTCCAGGGCCCCCAGACACTTCGACCTGCCCCAAGATGAGGCTCTCGGTGGTGGATTCGTACGGACGCTGGGCTGGCCTTTGGGAGGGTCAGTTTGTGGCTCTCAACATCCCTCACCTCCGCTCTCACACTCTGGTGCACACAGATCCATTCCACAAGGTCAGGAGACATCTGTTTTTTTGTTTTGGTTTTTTTTGTAAAATATAGTTAACCTGACATTGTTTCCTGTTAAAAGGCCCGTATTATATTTTCTGATCTTTGTTATAATGTTGTTTCCTTGTCACAAACATACCTGGAGTTGTGTTTTGTTTCATTCACACGTTTAACACAGAAACACTGCATATTTAGGCTTCTTAGTTCTTCTCTCAAACTGAAAACACTGTTCCACCTTGTGATGTCATGTGATAATAAATGAAGCTCCACTGTGTTTTTAAACTCCATACACCTTCACTAGAGTCATCTGGATAATCTCATGCCTGGAATTGCCAGTTTCTACTAAACAAAACGTAAAAGGTAACTGTTTTAAAACTTTAAAACTACCACTTCATGACGTCACAAGATGGAACATTTAGTATTTTGAGCTTTGGAGATGTAGACAAGGGGTCTTCAACCTTTTTCAGACTGATGGAGAGCTGGAGCAGGGACCCCCTTTTATATACATATGGCATACAATTGTGTTTTATATTAAATTGGGTCTAGTGTCGTGTATAAACAGCTACTTTGTTATTGTACATTCAACACTAGAGGGATTTCATCAAAGTCGCTTAACAAGTCCAGGCTTATCCTGAAATCCTGTGATCACAGTGACTCTGAGAAGGCCAGATCAATGGAGCAACGGCATCACGGAAAACGGGCTCAAAGTGTGACTTTTTTTAATGATCTCATTAGAGAGGAGTCACAGTTCGGACACTTTTGAGCTTGTTCTGATCTGAGGAGCGAGAGGAAAGACACGACTACCCCCTCCTCTCCTGTTCATTCCCCCTCCTCTTCCAATCGCTCCGTGCTGAGTGCAGAGCCTAGTTAATACGCCCTGGGAATGAAGTTGCTTGACCCCTTCCCGGATGTGCAGTAGTACGTGCGGAGCTTAAGTTCCACTTTAAAAGTAAAGCTTTAACGGATTTCTTCACATGTAGCCTAGAAGAAACAACAAAATCCGCGCCGACGTGTTTGCAGTTTGACAAGGAGCGAGAGACGAGGGAATGAAAAGAGACAGAAGTGATGAAGGAGCGCACAGCCAGAACCCGCTGAAAACCAGTTCATCCTCATCCTTCAAAATAAAGAAAAAAGAAAAAAAGTCTAATCAACCAAACCCCCTGTTGAAGATCTCTGATGTAGAATAATAATACACATTGATTTGTGAATGAAACAAAACACAACTTGAGGTATAGTCCAATAAGGTTCATTTAATCTTCCGATATTTAATGTTATTAGGTTCTTTTTCAGACCAAGAGTTTGTTTTCATACGTGAGAGTTTTGACTGCTCACTTGTGCTCTTCCTCAGTCACGTGATGTTGCTGTGATGTGTCCAGTCAGCTGATTTATACAGGTTTTGGCGCTGTCTTCCTACAGGTCGAGGCAGGACGACAGCGCCATCTGCAGGAAACGTTCCCACGAGACTATAAAACGGGATGAGTTTTTTTTTTACTCTTACACACCTGGGATTCTGTCCTGAGGAAGTCGGACTGCAGATGGCGCTGTCATCCTGCCTCCACTGGTAGCAAGACAGCGCCAAAACCTGTTTAAATCAACTGAGCGGACACGTCACAGCAACATCACGTGACTCTGAGGAAGACCGCCATTGAGCAATCGAAACTGTCAAATATGAAAGCAAACTCTTGGTCTGAAAAAAGAACCTAATAACACACAACTTGAGGCATGTTTTTGATGACATAACAACTTGGCTAAAAGCTCATAATCAATTTTGCGCAATATAGGGGTTTTCTGTAGAATTTCCCATTTTAATGTAAAAGTACATTGTTTCTCTTTTCTCATGGAGGATCTGTTTTGTATGAGTGGAGAAGTTACTGCTTTGCCAGGAATGCTCCAGAGTATGAGAGTAAATGTTTCAGGTTAAAGGTTAAAGGGCCCAAATTACGCTGATTTGTGTTATAATGTTGTTTCCTCATCACAAACATCTGGGGTTGTGTTTTTGAGTATTATCTGTTGTAGGGAGTATTATCTGTGACATAAGGGTGAGTCGTTGTACAGTTGTAGGGAGTATTATCTGTTACATAAGGGTGAGTTGTACAGTTGTAGGGAGCATTTTTTAGAGATCATTTGGTTACACACAGGTTGTCATTTGGGGTGTTTTCATCATTTGAGTATGTTTCCTTCAAAATGGAGCTAAAACAATCACCGTCCATACTCTACATAGTCATATACAAACCTCCTCAGCACTGTCAAAGTTTTATTGATGATTTTACTGAGATGCTTTCAGTTGTTTGCACAGACTTTGATGGTTTAGTCATTACAGGTGATTTTAATGTACATGTGGATAATGTGTGTGCCAAAAGTGCCAAAGAGCTTAATGTTGTCCTTGAAACTTTTGGTCTGACTCAGCATGTCAGTGAGCCCACTCACAACAGAGGGCAACACTCTGGACCTGCTCATTACAAAGGGTGCAAATATTTCAAATGTCAATGTGGTTGATGTTGCTCTGTCTGATCATTTCTGTGTCTTCTTTGATCTGTCTGTTATTCCCAAACCACCGGCTGCTCCTACAGTTGTTCGAAGAAGACACATAAATGATAACACAGGTGCACTGTTCATGGAAATGATCAATTTTGAAATTGCCTCATGTTCTAATGTTGATGATGTGTTGAACTCTGTGACTTTGAGTGTTTTGAATGTTCTGGATGCCATCGCCCCGATAAAGGTTAAAGTGGTTAAAGATAGGCAAAAAGCTCCGTGGAGGAATGATGACTCAGTCAGGGCACAGAAAAGGGAGTGCCGGAAGGCTGAGCGGAAATGGCGCAAGTCAAACCTCCAGGTTCATTATGAGATTTACAGAGGAACAATGCATATGTACAACTACACTTTCAGTAAAACAAGAGAGAAGTATTTTTCGGACATTATTGGTAATTGCAGTAACAACTCTCGTGTCCTGTTTGCAACAGTGAACAGATTAACAAACCCTCCAGCTCCACTGCCACTAGAACTGATTTCCACATCTAAATGTAATGAGTTTGCAGTTTTCTTTAATGACAAAGTTCAGGGCATCAAAAATGCCATCAATTCCACAACACAAATAACAAGCATGCAGCCACAGAGACACTTAGCGCTGAATCACTTTGCACCTGTAACTGACAAAACTGTTTTAGAGATCGTTACCAGTCTGAGTTCATCTACTTGCTGCCTGGACATGTTACCCACTAGATTTCTAAAGTCCGTCCTCAACAGTTTACTTTCACCACTCACTCACATAGTTAACATGTCACTTCAATCTGGAACATTCCCAAACGCGTTGAAAACTGCGGTCATTAAGCCTCTCCTAAAGAAGAGCAGTCTTGATGCCACAGTACTGAACAATTTCCGACCCATCTCAAATCTGCCGTTTTTTGGCAAAGTCCTTGAAAAAGCTGTTTACCAACAGCTTACGAACTTTCTCCAAATGAACAACTCCTTTGATGTTTTCCAGTCAGGTTTTAGAGCCCACCACAGCACTGAGACTGCTCTTATCAAGGTGACAAATGACATCCGCCTGAACACTGATGCAGGCAAAGTCTCAGTCTTGATCCTGTTAGATCTGAGTGCTGCTTTTGACACTGTCGATCATGGGATCCTCTTACAGAGACTAGAGGACTGGGTGGGCATCTCTGGTTCTGGTACTGTACTAAACTGGTTCAAGTCCTATCTAGAAGACAGGAAGTATTTTGTTGAAATTGGAAACTGTGTCTCAGATCACATGGCCCTGACCTGTGGGGTGCCTCAGGGGTCAATCCTGGGCCCCCTGTTGTTCAATCTCTACATGCTGCCATTAGGCCAGTTAATAAGCAGCAATAATGTGTCCTACCACAGTTATGCAGATGACACTCAGATCTACGTCTCTCTGGCAGCAGGAGACTATGGACCAGTGGACTCACTTTGTCACTGCATCCAACAGATCAGTGTGTGGATGCAAAACAACTTTCTTCAGCTAAACTCTGACAAGACTGAAGTCATAGTGTTTGGTCCACAGAAACAAAGGGACAGTGTCAGCAGTCACCTCCAGTCTCTCTCTCTAAAACCTTCAAATCAGGCAAGAAATCTCGGGGTAATAATGGACTCAGACTTGAACTTTAACAGCCACATCAAGTCAATAACATCTGCAGCCTTTTACCATCTAAAAAACATAGCGAAAATCAAAGGTTTACTGTCTAAATCAGACTTGGAGAAACTTATCCATGCGTTTGTCTCCAGTAGGTTAGATACTGTAATGGTCTGCTCACTGGTCTCTCCAAACGAGCTGTGAGACGCTGCAGAACATCCAGAACGCTGCAGCTCGGGTCCTTACTCGAACTAGGAAGTACGAGCACATAAGTCCTGTGCTCAGGTCTCTGCACTGGCTTCCTGTGCCTCAGAGAATAGACTTTAAAGCAGCTCTACTTGTGTACAAGTCTCTCCATGGCCGAGCACCAAAGTACATCTGTGACATGTTAGTGTCATATGAACCATCTCGCACTCTGAGGACCTCAGGGACCGGCCTCCTGCTGGTGCCCAGAGTCAGGACTAAACAAGGGGAGTCAGCATTTCAGGTTCATGCAGCTAAAACCTGGAACAGTCTGAACATGTGAGACAGACTCTTCTGTGACGCTGTTTAAATCCAGACTCAAAACATTTCTGTTTAACTGTGCATATAACTGAAAGGTTTTCATTCCGCACTCTTCTCTCCAATTTATGTCTCCCTTTTTTAAAATTTTAATCTTCATGATTATTTATGTTTTGATTTGTTTTTATTATGATTTTAATGTATTTCTTATTCTGTAAAGCACTTTGAATTACTTTGTGTACGAATTGTGCTATACAAATGAACTTGCCTTGCCTTGCCTATTATCTGTGACATAAGGGTGAGTTGTTGTCCAGTTGTAGGGAGTATTATCTGTTAAATAAGAGTGAGTTGTTGTACAGTTGTAGGGAGTATTATCTGTTAAATAAGAGTGAGTTGTTGTACAGTTGTAGGGAGTATTATCTGTGACATAAGGGTGAGTTGTTGTACAGTTGTAGGGAGTATTATCTGTGACATAAGGGTGAGTTGTTGTCCAGTTGTAGGGAGTATTATCTGTTAAATAAGAGTGAGTTGTTGTACAGTTGTAGGGAGTATTATCTGTGACATAAGGGTGAGTTGTTGTCCAGTTGTAGGGAGTATTATCTGTTAAATAAGTGTGAGATGTTGTACAGTTGTAGGGAGTATTATCTCTGACACAAGGGTGAGTTGTACAGTTGTAGGGAGTATTATCTGTTAATTTCATCCCTGGATTTGCCAATTTCTACTGAACAAAATGTAAAAATGATCTGTCATCCCCCTGCACAGAAAGCCTTACAGGACTTTGTGGTTAAGTCTGGCCGTTCCTCTGAGCTCCACAGTCTCCCCGATCAGGTCTACATCCTGGACGAAAACGCCTATTTCAACGACATGCGGCTGGGCAAGAAGGAGCAGAGACGCCTCCACGTGTCCTCCAGCCTGAAGAGGAACCCCAGCTTCAGCCTGCCCGGGACCAGACTCAGCGTGGACTTTTTCCGCAACCAGGTCAAAGCTCAACCGAAGGAGTGTGACGTGTGACGCTGCAACTGTAACACCACTGTGAAGAAGGTTGGCATGTTTGTGTGTCATGTCATTTGGTTTTTATACGACTAATTACATTTTGTACTGTAATATTTTTAAAGAGCCCATATTACCCTGTTTCCTGATCTATGTTATAAGGTTATTTCCTCATCAAAAACATAACTAGAGTTGTGTTTTGTTTCATTCACACATGTTGAACACACAAACCCTGCATATTTAGGTGCTTCCCTGAAACTAAAAAACACTTCCACCTTGTGATGTCATGTGGTAATACAGGAAGTTTAAACTCAAAACTCATTCACTAGAATCATTTGTGTTGTTATTACATGCCTGGAATTGCCAATCTCCACTAAACAAAGCTTAAAAAGGTAGCTGTTTTAAGACTTTAAAACTACCACGCCATGACATCACAAGGTGGGGCAGAGCATTTTGAGCTTTGGAGGTGTAGACAGACTAAAAATACAAGATTACTTAAACTCACGATAAGCAAAATTGCGCAATCTAGGACTTTTCATTAGAATTTCCTTTTTGTATTTAAAAGAACATTATGTGACTTCTCACCGTGGATCTGTTTTGTATCGGTGGAGAAGTTATTGCTTTGCCTGGAATGTTCCATAGGATGAGATTAAATGTATCTATCGCCATGGAGACAGTCAGGTGATGCCACTAGGCCAAGTTACTAGTCAGATCTGAGGAGAGACAACCCGGCTCCCAAAAGAAATGTGTGAAGATAAACATTTAGACAATCTCCTTGTGTCCCTTGTGAGTTGTTGTGCAGTTGTAGGGAGTATTATCTGTTACATAAAGGTAAGTTGTTGTACAGTTGTAGGGAGTATTATCTGTGACATACGGGTGAGTTGTTGTACAGTTGTAGGGAGTATTATCTGTTACATAAGGGCGAGTTGTTGTACAGTTGTAGGGAGTATTATCTGTTACATAAGGGTGAGTTGTTGTACAGTTGTAGGGAGTATTATCTGTTACATAAGGGTGAGTTGTTGTACAGTTGTAGGGAGTATTATCTGTTACATAAGGGCGAGTTATTGTACAGTTGTAGGGAGTATTATCTGTTACATAAAGGTGAGTTGTTGTACAGTTGTAGGGAGTATTATCTGTTACATAAGGGTGAGTTGTTGTACAGTTGTAGGGAGTATTATCTGGTACATAAGGGTGAGTTGTTGTACAGTAGTAGGGAGTATTATCTGTTACATAAAGGTAAGTTGTTGTACAGTTGTAGGGAGTATTATCTGTGACATAAGGGTGAGTTGTTGTACAGTTGTAGGGAGTATTATCTGTTACACAAGACTGACTTATTGTACAGTTGTAGGAAGTCATACAGTGGAACATTTTTGGCAAAGAAATCTCATCGTCATGGAGACAAACAGGTGGCAGACTCAGCACCAGAAATGTTATTATTAAAGTGCATGTTTTTATCTGAATCAGCAGGGAAAAAAATGTGTACGCTGCATGTGAATTGTTTTTATAATAATTGCGTGCAAGTAACTGAACACTGACAAAATAAACTAATTTACTGAGTCCGTGTATCATTTGTTCATTCGTTTTTCAATATAAAACCAAAAATAAGAAAACAAAAAAAAACAACAATTTTCTTCATTATTTGTCTCCAAAACCAAAATTAAAAAACTGATAATGATACAATTTTTTTCAGTTTTCGATTTTGTGTTTAAATGAATGATTGAAAAAAAAAGAGATAACGTCCGTTTCCTGTTTCTGTGATTTAAACTGTGAGGCTGGACTGAACCAGGACTAAACCAGGACTGAACCAGCACTAAACCAGGACTGAACCAGGACTAAACCAGCACTAAACCAGGACTGAACCAGCACTAAACCAGGACTGAACCAGCACTAAACCAGGACTAAACCAGGACTAAACCAGGACTGAACCAGGACTAAACCAGGACTAAACCAGCACTAAAAACCAGGACTGAACCAGCACTAAACCAGGACTGAACCAGCACTAAACCAGGACTGAACCAGGACTAAACCAGGACTAAACCAGCACTAAACCAGGACTGAACCAGGACTAAACTAAGACTAAACCAGGACTAAACTGGTCTCAGTCCTGGTCTGGTCCCGGTCTCAGTCCCAGTCTCAGTCTCTGTTCTGGTTCCGGTCTCAGTCCCGGTCTCAGTCCTGGTCCTGGTCTGGTCCCGATCTCGAGTTCTGGTTTAGTCCTGGTTCAGTCCTGGTTCAGTCCTGGTTCAGTCCGGCGTCACAGTTTAAGTCACAGAAACAGGAAATGACCATTATCATCATCATTCACTTAAACACAAAATCAAAAAACTGAAAAAACGAATTGTTATCTGTTTTATCATTTTGGTTTTGGAGACAAATAATGAAGAAAATAGTTGTTTTTTTTCATTTTCTTATTTTTGGTTTTATCTTGAAAAATGAATGAACGAATGACACACAGATTTTACTGGAAGTTTTAAAAGTCATAAAGACATTGTCACTGGCATTTGGCATGTATAATATTTGTCCAGTATTGTGAAGTTGTATTATCTTTTATTTATTTATTTTTATTTAAAACGGTACGTGTGAATCTTCAGGTGGAGCGTTACAACCTGGACTCTTTGCTTCTGAAGGGGACGGTGGAGTCTATTGTCCCGGTGATGGAGCAGGAGCGGCCTGTAGGGGGCAGCACTGACTCCACAGCTCACAGGAGGGTCAAGTACTTCCGGGTCGGACTCCAGGACTGCTCCGAACTCAGGGCCCGCCGCGTCGTCATGGCAACAGGGCCGACACGAGCGCAGATGGCCAACGTCCCGTCCTGGGTGTCAGCAATCGGAGAGAGTTATCCAGAGGGGGCGCTACAGCACACTGTCAAACTAATGCATCACCTACCTCTGAGTCAGACCTCACAAACACAAGGTGACTTCACCAGAGTGTGTTAGGGTGAAAGGAGCGCTATGTAACTTTTCTAGAGTAGAGTCCATCGCCCGCTAGAGATGTTCTTGCTTTGCTTGAGATGTTCCACAGTATGGCATTAAACTTGTCTGTCTAGCATTTATGAAAGTACAGGTACAAGTGGAGGAGTTCAAATATCTCGGGGTCTTGTTCACGAGTGAGGGGAGGATGGAGCGTGAGATTGACAGGCGGATCGGTGCAGCATCTGCAGTGATGCGGTCGCTGTATCGAGTCATTATGGTGAGTTGCGGGAGTTGAGCCAAAAGTCAAAGCTCTCGATTTACCGTTCATTCTTACCCTCAACTATGGTCATGAGCTCTGGGTAATGACCGACAGGACAAGAGTGCAGATACAAGAGGCCGAAATGAGTTTCCTCCACAGTGTGGCTGGGCGCTCCCTTACAGATAGGATGAGGAGCTCAGTCACACAGGGGAGCTTGAAGTAGAGCCGCTACTCCTCCACGTCAAGAGGAGGCAGCTGAGGTGGTTTGGGCATCTGACCAGGAACCTCCTGGGCGCCTCCCTCAAAAGGTGTTCTGGGCACGTTCCACCTGGAGGAGGCCGTGGGGAAGACCCAGGACACGCTGGAGGGACTAATTCTCTTGGCTGGCTTGGGAATGCCTTGGGGTTTCCCCGGAGGATCTGGAGTCCGGGGTGAAGGAAGTTCGGGAGTATCTGCTTAGACTGCTGCCCCCCGATCTGGCCCCAGATAAGTGGAAGAAAATGGATGGATGGAGGAGTTGTTTTTTTTATTATTAAGAAAATACATTTCTGGGAGCAGGGTAGCCACAGATCTGACCTACAACTAGGACTACTGGTGCTAACTGCTACTCTCCATAGAGAGAAATTTGCATATTGTCATGCTGTGGGACATTTTATAACTTCTTCATCGGCAGCAGACCCTCCAGCAGAAAAGTTACAGAGTGGATCTTTAAGGATACCTGCAGGAAACAAATGACACAGTCAGTTAAGTCATTATGTTGTATTTTTGGCTCAGTCCCATGATTTCAATGGTTTAATCTATTATCCATGAAAACTGAGTGCTCCATTAAAGTGAAATAGGTCAGTGTTTCTCCTCTTTCTTTAACTGATGTTATGACTGAGAATTGTATGTTTTATTAAAGGCCTTGTGCCTGCTTTTTTCCCTTGTATTTGAGCAAAATTTGTCTTGCCCCAGTACAGATATATTGTATAAGCAGTTCTTGAGGTCAAAATAAGTCCACCGTGTGCTATAGTCAACTAATTATAAAGCTTATTGTCTGATAACCAGGAAGTGTGTGTTAGCATGCTAGTTGTTGTTGTTGTTGTTGTTAGCATTACACTGATGACACACTGTTGTGAAAAGAGTTTATAAGTCATTTCGGTGAATAATTAGGATGCTCGGAATGCATACGGTAAGTGAGGAATAACTTTGGACCACGGCAAACCTGAACTAGTTCTGTTTTCCACATTTTAAAGACAGTACAGATGAGACACAGTGCCTTTAACTGTCTTTTGTATGTCTTCGTAGGTCAGTGTGTCGTGTGCACAGAGGGGCAGAGGGTGATGGTGGTAGGAGGAGGTCTGACCAGTGCGCATGTAGTTTCCATCGCTCTCCAGCAGGGGGCCAGTCATGTCACCTGGGTCATGAGGAAGTACTTACAGGTAAGAGGAACACAAACCCTGTTTACATTAACCGTCATGATGCAAATCAAGATATAGGGTTTCACCTATAGCTTGAACAGTGTTACGGCTCGCGGCCTGTCTCCGGCTAAGAGATTATGCAAAGTGTCTTTTTTTAAGCTTTCTATTTCTCAACAGCGACTGCCCACCCACAATTAGGGAAGTCAGTTTCTCATTTATTTTTGCCATAGACAGACAAACACTGACAAAAAAGTTTTAAGACAGTCTGAAAATTGAAACAACACATTGTCAGGAGCCTGTACAAGTGTTCATAGTCCTGTTTAGGTGTTTGAATATAAATTATTATAAAGCAGAGATTAAAGTCAAACTTGAGTAACAGAACTTCTAACAGAGCAGTGCTTTCAGTTCGCTTCACACTCGCAGGGAACGCTGAAGACATCAGCTGCAAAATATCAGACAGAGCTCAAGATGGAACAGTAGTAGTGCAAAACTCTCATAGAGATACATTAGCCACAAAAATATTAAGAAGTAAACAACAGCTCAGTGGAACAACGAAATAAGTCTCTGATAAATATCTGTCCCTCTATTCAAGGATTTCAAGATATGGCATCAGTCCTCCATAGTCACAGCAATTATGGCATGACTCCTAATGCAATGATTGTCTTCACTGGGCCATTTCTGAAACTTTAGTTGTTTTTTTTAAACTCAGTTTTTAACATCATATTTTGAGATGTAGCATGTGCAGTGCAAAGGACACAATTAAGGGACTGTTGGATTGTGTGAAATAAGCTGTTTGCTAAGGACCTTTGAGATACTTCAGGCTTTTTACGCCAAATGTGGCAGCAAATATGACTGAAGACTTTCCAGAGGAAATACTCCAAGACCTTCTACAGGAAGAAGAAGAAGAGGAAGAATGAGGCTTAATCAATCAATCAATCATTCAAGGTTTATTTCAGATTCAGTGGGTCCATACAGAATATTTAAAAACAGACTGAAGACAAGCAACACAACAATACACGCATCCCAAATTTTGGACTTCCAGTCACCGCGCAGTGCATACTGGGAAGGATCCTCCGAAACAGTGAGCAACAAACCGCCACGTTTGATTTCCCAGTGGGATGCGTTTATTGTCAAAGCCGATCTTTTCAAGTCTTTTGAACCATATCACTTTTTTTCTGGTTCTGACATTGTCATATTTTCGTTATGGGATTTGGACATCGTAGTTGTGTGGTTGTTGGATGTCCTAACACCGGAAAACGGGCTTGTGAAGTTTGCGAACTCCATAAGTGCAAAAGGGAATTAGAGGTTACCTTTTTGGTCCTTCCTGTGTATCAGTATCGCCTTCGCCTTTCACTATTTTTCAATTCCGTTGGGAAGGGAAACAGTTTGAACGGAGGTTTGCAGTCACACAGATCTGTTTCCCTTTTGCAGTTATGGAGTTCACAAACTTCCGAAGCTCATTTTCTGGTGTTAGGACATCCGAACAACCACACAATTTCGACATCTGAATCCCATAACTAAAATATGACAATATCAGAACCAGAAACAAAAGTGATATGGTTCAAAAGACTTTGGCAATAGACACACCCCACTGGGAAATCAAACATGGTGGTTTGATGCTCACTTTTTCGGAGGATCCTTCCCAGTATGCATTGCAAAATTCGGGATGCATGTATAATAATAGTCGATCGTCAATAAACACTTCCTCCTGTGTCCTAATTTCATTTTGTGAGTCCTCAAGGCGCCTCATAAATTTATACACAAAGTTCCTAATAACAGCATTCAAAGTGGGAGCATTATCCTGCACAAACACCAGTGTCTGCGTACACTGGTGTATGAATGTGTGTGTGAATGGGTGAGTGTTTTTTTAGTCTCTTGAAGGTGGAAAAGTGTAATATAAAACTATGATCATTTACTGTTTACTTATTTACTTACTTATTGCTGTTGTAGTTGAAGCAGTTTGACGTGGGCGATGTGGAGAGCCTGGTGGGGCGATATTCCCACGTGGAGCATGGGATCCAGATGGACGGCAGAGCGTTTCTGTGTCAGTTTTACAGCGAGAAAAGCCTCCACAGACGACTGGCCATGATCCGACAGGCGCGGAAAGGAGGAGCCGTCACCCCCGAGGCCTACACCCACCTCCAACCATTCATACAAGAGGGACGGGTGCAACTCAGGACCTACTGTGAGGTGAGACCAGAGACTGTGTAAAGACGTGGACTGAGGGAGTGTGACCCATAGTGTTCAACTCCAGTCAAATGAGGTTCACTGAGGCTCGCAGTGATCAGAGTGAATTTGGATACGAGTTCCATATTAGACAAAATAGCAAAATAAAAACACCAGGATCATGTAGAGCGGGAAAATACGAACATTTTAAGACCAAAAATGAAGAGCCTTACAACAGCAGTTATGGAGAGAGGGGGGGTCATTCCATGCCACATCCTTGAATGCCCCCGCCCGACCATCTCAGATTTGACTAAAAAATTCCAATTCCAATTCTACTTTCCAGTAGAAAAAGTCCCAAATTTTAGCTCCCAACTCCCTAAAAAATATATAGTCAACTCCCCCCTGACCTGTTTTGAGCAGAGTTGTCCAAGAAGATGCTTTCAGATTGTTGTATCTAAGAAAAATTTTAAGGTAGGTTTAAGCTGTGTGTCATGAAATCAGAGTTTCTTAGCTTCTGAAAGTGCCTTCATAGTCCATGAAGGCTCTGCATGTATGCGGACACCACATTTTCAAGAACTTAATTTTGTGAAAATAAGGCAGAACACCATCACAAATTTTGGATATGTTAAAAACAGAGATCTACTCTTTCTAAAACAGTCCATTTTATGCCGGTGAGTGCTGTAATTTTTTTGGTATAACATGGTAAAGATGGCACCAATTATTTTTTTCCATTTTGAACACTTAATATCTTCTAGAGCGTTCATCACAGAGGGTTATAGTGTTTTAAAATACAAAGTACACAGCATGTGGGGGAAAGAGTATGTTCAATATGAAACCTCTGTCTTTGAAACTGCACTTCCCACAGCCCTTCAAAGATGCCCTCAAATTTGAAGAGTAGAATTTTCGAGCAAATTCAAGCCCCCTGAAATCTGTGATAAACCAAAAGCACATGTGTGAAAGTCCATATTCTAAAGACAAAACTATAAGGAGTTGAGAGATAAAATTTGGGATTTTTCTAATTGGAAAGTGTGTGAACCTTGTAGAGTTTTTTCATTCAAACCTGAGATGGTCGGGCGGGGGCATTTGGAGATTTGGCGTGGAATGACTCGGCATCAGAAGCATAGCAGATTAGCCATGTCCATTTATACACACAGTCTATGGGTGAGACCATTAACAGGGAGCTCATAGGGTTTTAAAATGCATAAATAAGTTAAGGAGGGATTAGCTTGCCTTTTTTTTGTTAACACAAAAAAGACATGCCTGAATAGCTTTTAGATGTCACCCATGCATGTTTCAGTAATTTAGTGATCAGTTCCTGGGCCCTGATTGCACACAATCTTACAGTTAGCAGGAAGATTCTGTGCAATACTCAGCCCACAATCTGACATCAGTCATGTTCCCACACAACAATTCTCTATAAATTTACAAAAGTGTGATGCAAAACTGCAAAACCACTTGATAAACCTGATGTGATGGCAGTAGTTGTGATAGTGGTCTGAAAGGGGAGTGATTTAGTGCAGAGAGAGGCTCAGAGGGAGACTCATTTAACTTTCTGGTGGTACATGGGCAGCACATATGACTTATTTCATACTAGGTAGGAATACTACAGATACTAAGTAATTCCTTAATGTTAACATGGGCCAACATGGGCCAGTAAATTAAGGTTTAAATTTATTAAAAATGTCTTCCTTCCTTAATAATTAGAAAACAATAAAAACATGTGACATGCACTTTAAGTTCTCCTTATTACTTTTGTTTCATATCCCTGTACAGTACAATAATGTGGCCAATAACTGATTAACTGATACCAATATTAAATTTCTGAATAACTTAACCAAACTCTCGATCTCACTCCAAATCACTAAATCCATTGAATTCTTCATCCTCGGTGTCACTTCTGAGCTCAATTACTGTTATCGACTGCATATTTCGCGACTTGCAGCTTGTAACCTGCAAAATGTGATTTTCTTTTTGGGGGGATTTGTGTTCAGTCTTCTCAGTTGGTACAGATGTAATGGTGTGATCGACTGTCATGATACAGACAGGACAGCGGCTCTTTCTGCAGGAGACATGCACAGTAGAGTGAAGTGACAGTGGTACAGGAGTAATAGGAGCAGCAGATACTGACACACAAGCCTAGAGCACCCTCTCATGGCTGTCAGTGTGAAAATTTTTATATATAAGTCACACCAGAGTATAAGCAGCAGGACCACCCAAAACATGAAAAAGTGTGCCTTAAAGTCCAGAAAATATGGTACTCAAAAATAGTATTCTGAGTTGCTTACATATATTTCATTCTTTCACTTTGATTCTGGACACTTCTACTTTCTCCTTCCTAAACATCTAACATGAGCTCTTGGTTTTCTGCAGGTGAATGAAGCCAGATGGTGCTACAGAACCCAGGCGTGGTCCCTCTCTCTCACCACCGGGGGGCAGTGGAGCGGTGATGTGATCTGGCTCGCTACAGGCTGCAAACTGGACGCCAAGCAAGACCCTCTGCTGTCTGAAGTAATCAAAGAGTTCCCTATTCAGGTCAGGGATGAAAAATAACGCCAATGTGAATTAAATACAGTAAAAAAATATATTATACTTACATTTTATTCTCAGCATTTCATTCTCTATCAACAATTTTGAATTTTAACACACTTGGTAAATAGTGAAGTGTTATTATATTTGTGGCAGTGTAATTAAAGGTGCATTATGTAACTTTTCTAGTGGGGTCTGTCATCCAGAGATATTATTGCTTTGTCTTGAATGTTGCACAGAATCACTTTAGACTTATATCTTGCATTTATTTTATTTGATTGCTAAAAAACTTGGTTTGGAGTCTGATGTAACGATCAAATGTTTCCAGAAGATGGCAGCACAGGAGCAGGACAGAGTTGAGTCCTAGTAGAGTTGAATCTGTCCTGTTCTTTTTGCTCAAATGAGCAAAATGTGAATTTAAAGGAGTGACACAAACATTATTATAAAATCTAAGAATATAAAGTCTTTGTTCATTTCTCTTTCCTCACTTCCTTCACCTTGATTCCTCTCCACAGAAGGAAGGAGTAAATCTGAGGGAGACTTCAGGAGCAAACATCAGATAAAATAATTTTACTGGTCTCACTGAGGAGTTTATATCCTCTGTCCTTATTTATTTATTTATTTTATTCATAAAGTACAAAAAGGCATCAATACTGTCACAACTGTGTCAGATACACAAGAAATGAATGAAAAGGAGCACAAAGAAGAGTCATCTTATGTTATCTGCCCCCTTTTCCACACAACACATCAACACTGATAGTTACTAACCAAATCTCTCCTTGTTGTGTCTCCTCTGTGGGCAGGACTTCCACACTAATTTCCTGCAGAATTGAGGAGAGCAATAAAAGAGAAGGAAACGAAGAAAGAGAAATTAGATGCAAGCCCTGGGGTTTCTAAATGGGCACCCATTCAAATCAATGGGCCGAGCTCAATGGCCCATGACTCCAGATTAGAATTTAGCCCAGCGAGGTACTTCTGGTGGCTGTGGGCCGACCAGCCGTCTAAAGTGATTCTGTGGAACATTCAAGGCAAAGCAATAATATGTCTTTTCTCCCACGGGCACACGCATGGCTTGTGTATCATGTGATCACTTTGATCAATCAGAGCGAGAGGAGCTAGAGCTGAGCTGGAGCTAACGATTATAAAGTTTTTTTTTAAGACAACTGATTAATTTTGAGCTGAGAAAAAGTTTATGACCTAAAAATAGGTAAAAATTGCTAACAAATTCAAAATTTTTGAAAGTTGTAGGTGCCTGTCAGCCGAACACGAGCGGTTTGTGATTACATTGCGCTCTATGAGAAAAATCCTCTCTCGGCCCATGGGAGTTTTTCCACTGAAGTTCCAGTGAGTGACCACTACATCAACTGGAGGCAGCTACAAGCAGCAACATCCTATCCAGTTATTTTAATAGATCCATAATGCAGCCTCAGACTCTGTTCTTCTTCTGTTAGACTAAAGCTGACACACGATCAGACAGTAGTAACTTGGAAAACACCCCTCCCCCAGAGCCTTCAAGGTATTCAGTGAAGGCCCAAGAAAAAATATTGAATGAATTTTTGTACTACTAAAATATTTTATCTATATTTTTTATTCAGTGAGTAATAAACACTACTACACTAGTAATAATTTCTAGATCAGTGTTATAAACTTGGACTGATATTTCTTGGGAAACAAAGGGTTAATATAATGCACTGGAAACGGACCAATCACAATTTTTCTTCCAATGGTATCTGGATAAATCAGTGACTCCTCCTAGTATATGTATATGATGTAAGGTCTTTAAGTGATGCCGTAATTTATTTGACTTCATGCTGTCCACTGCCAACATTTTTAGACACAGTAAACACACCAGGACTTTCCTCATTTCCCATCGTAGTCACAGTGAAGCCGAGCTCTACATACACTTTATGTACCGTTTGTTCACTGCACTTCATATCTCCCGCTCTGTGCTGTGTGTGTGTTTGCTCAGTGCAAAAAAACATGACACTTTAAGAACTATATAGATAAGAACCCTCCATACAGTTAGCAGTAAGACTGTGCAATACTCAGCCCACGTGACAGTTCTCTATACATTTACAAAAGCATGATGCAAAACTGCAAAACAACTAAACCTGATGGTGATGGTAGTAGTTGTGATAGTGGTCTGAAGAGAAAGTGACTTAGCGCAGAGGGAGACTCAGAGAGGCACTAATTTTCTTGAAGATATAGGATGATATGAAAAAAGAATTTACAAATACAGAAAACATTACAAAAGACACTACACAGAGCAAACTGAGAAATATCACTGGTGTCATTGGTAGGTTCTTGATGGCTGGCCCTGTATCTCTGAGAGTCTGCAGTGGGCGGAGGGCTGTCCTCTGTATCTGATGGGGCAGTACACTGCGCTACAGGTGAGTCTTCTTATTATGTATGTATTATGTATTATAACAGTAAAAGCTGAATGTTCTTGTAACCATGTATTCTTGGTAGAATTTTGGGTAATTTTCAGACTGCAATGCTTTTTTATGTTTTGTTTTCTCATTTTAATGTTTATTAGGTTGTATAATATATAACATGTGACACATTTAATATAATAAATGCAATAAATAATACATTATGATATGGTCTATGGTGGACCATAGTCCGAGTCCGGACCCAGACGCCATCCCATACGGACCCGGACAGGGTTATCCCGATGTTCCCCTGTGCTTCCACAGGGGAACAGCAGTACCTCCAATTGTGAACGATATCAATATTCCCAGTTAACATCACAGGCCATCCTCATCTCAAGTTTTCACTATAAATTCATAAAACAGCAGCATGTAGAACTTTGTACGCAACTCACTGCACATCAGCCCAGAGCAGAAGCTCTGAGTTCGGGTAACAGCAGGAGCCAACAACGGTAAAGACACAGGACACTCACCATAGCTCACAGCCCCTCAGGACGGGATTTAGGGTCTGGTTCTTGGTCTTGTGTCGTCCTCCGAGCCTTTGATCAGATAGGTCCAGAGGCTCCTCCATGTGCTGGTTCCAGACGGGAGCGAGCAAGACCAGTGCGGAGTGAACTGGATCTAAGCGGTTCCATGCCGTTGTCTGCACACTGGTTCCGTGCGGGGAAAGCGAGAATGCATGTGGACTACAGGTCCGGGTGGGCTGCTCCTGTCCTCCATGCTCGAGGACTGTGGCTGGGCCTGAGGTGGTGCAGCATCTCGACAGAAGCGCAAATCCAATTTGGTTTGTTATATGTTGTTCTGAGCGGTCGGTCCTCTGTGCACTTTGTTCTTCCTGGGGAAGAACCACTCCCCGCTCCAGCTCCTCTGAGCCTGGCCTGAACCATTGGTTCAGGACTCTGGTTTTGGATCTAGTCCGACTGGATCATTTCTCACACGAGGCTAAATGCAGTTCATTTTATAAGATGAATCAATTGAACAGGACCTATTCAGTTTAGAGTCTAAACTTTACACTACTGTGTCAATGGACCAAGGAACGTACAAACCAGTCCTGACGCTACTTACCCAATCAAATCTGTGCATTCAAGGTGATCACAACCCTGAACACAGACACAGACAGAGGAAAGAGGTTTTGAGAAATCTGTTGAAAAATGTACTGAGACAGTGTTAACAATACATTTAGTTGAAATGTTTTTAACTATTTTCGTTGATGTTACAGCCCATTGTTCATACATTCAGACAGTAATAAAACTAGGCTACTTTTGTATCACAATCATAACACAAGTTAGACATCATGATGTCCCAGACCGCTGCTTGAGGAAATTTTCTCTAACCAGACCTCCTCAAATTTTAGCTGAATACTCCTGGTCTATAGATATAAATTAGATCAAATTAAAACAACTCAAAAGCAAAAACTTTTGCTTTTGAGTTGTTTTAATTTTAGAGATGCGCCTCTAAACTAGAACTAGAACCAGGATTAAACCAGAATTAAAACAGAACTAAAACCAGAACTAAAGTAGAACTAAAACCAGGACTTAGGGTAATTTGCCATCAGTGGCCAATACAAAGAATGTGATACACAGAGATCAGAGTACCAATGTGCAAACGTCTCGTTCCATAGTGAAATTGAGGGGTGTGTACCTATGTTCCCCGGGCTCAGATGACCTGGAGCGGGGGAGTGATGTTAGGTGCCTCGGCCTGACAAGCGCTTTTCCCCTGGAAGAATCAAGTGTGCGGAAGACGGACCACTCAGAACAACATATAACGAACCAAACCAGATTCGTACTTCTGCCCAGATGCTTCACATCACCTCAGAACCAGCCGCCGTCCTCGAGCGCAGAGGACAGGAGCAGCCTGCCCGGACCTGTAGTCCACAGCACAATCTGCTTTTCACCACATGGATCCAATGTGCAGACAACGGCACGGAACCGCTCGGACCCTGTCCATTGCGCATTGGTATTACTCACCCCCATCTGGGTCCACGACATCGAGAATAGAGCCTCCAGACCATCTGACCACCACGCTTGGAGGACAGCACAAGACCAAGGACCGGACCATCCTGAGGGGCCGCAGTGAGTGCTCCCATGTCTTTATCGCTGTTGCCTGAACTCAGTGCTTTTGCTGCAGGAAGTGCAGGGAGTTGCGTACAAAGTTATAGGCTACATGCTGCTGTTTTATGAGTTCATGATGACAACTTGAGATGTGGACGGCCCGTGATTTTAACGGGGGAGCATCAGTACCTTTCACAATTGGAGGGGGGAACTGGGGAAACCCCAAAATGGGCGCTTATTTCTACTGGAAGATAAACATTGATGAAATGTCAATCGAAACAAACCATTTGTTTTGTTTGCCGGTGTGAAAGTCTATATACTAGATAATAACAAATTTTATTGCCACAAAATAATCGACCAGGGCTAAACCAGGACTAAAACAGGATTTAACCAGGACTAAAACAGGCTGTGCCTCCTCCCGCCTCCTCCCGTACGCCACCTGTCTGTGAAGATATTGTCCCTAAGAGCTCAAACCCAAACCCCCCCCCCCCCCCCCCCCCATCCACAAAATATTGTTTGGAGACCACTGCTATAGGGCATTTATTCATGAATATCAAATTTTTTGCCTTTAATTCCTCGTCTTTTTTCGTGCTTTCTCCAGATTGGGCCTCATGCAGTGAACCTGGCTGGAGGACAAGCAGCGAGTTACAGAATTGCTAAACACATTTGGCATCAACTACAACAAAACCAAGATGATCCGCACAACACGGAGAAGAATGACAGATCGAAGACTGAGGAGTATGTTCAGCAGATGCACGGACTCCTGTGGCTCTAGTCAGTCATGGCCTCTGCTTTTGGAATAATAATAAACCTAATATATGTGTTTTCACAATCACAGTCGAGAACGTAATGGACTCAAAAAAGTTGTCATTGCCAGATGTGACCACTAGGGCTTGATGAGGACGATGTGTTATGCATCCAGGTTAACAAGTGTGGCATTTAAGGGGAACGACCTGTCCCACAGTGTTTATATGTGACAGTGTTTGTGTCTCAGGGAACTCGAGCTCACAAGAGTCACTTTTGTGTAATATAGGACTTTTAAGGTGGTGCAAAGCACTGGATTGGTTTTAGCTTCTACCTAAATGCACTGAATACTTTCGTAGATATTTTATTTGGCCAAAGCCGCTTACATCTCCCAGTGTGAGTGACCTTGCTTGAGACGGTTTCTCAGCATGCCATTCTGCAGCTGTTTTCAGTCATGTGACCTGACAGCTGCAGACACAGACTACAAACTTCCTGTTAAACTCTTAACACTCTGACATGATCACAGTTGACCGTGTCTGTGAGTTAAACATGTGCGAATGAAACAAAACACAACTCTGGGTGTTTTTGTGATGAGGAAACAACATTATAACACAGATCAGAAAATAGGCCCTTTAATATGGACATTGTAATTACACTGGATTAGATCAGATGTATTGTTTTAGTGTTTATAGCACGACTGTCCATAGAGACTTCTGAAGGGGTCTAGATGATGATGTTTTTTTGAACACACAAAACCATCCAAACTGAAACGATGTCACGCGAACCGCTACACTCACCAACTCAGTCATTTAGAACATTCAGTATATTCTAAAATGTACGTATCTAAAAAGTATTCAACTTATATTTTAATAGACGACAGGTGGGATTTAAAAGACTCATATTACTCTATTTTCTGATTTATGTTAAAATGCTGTTTCCTGCTTCAGATATATATGATTATTGCTATATTTCTATATTTTATTTTTTCAAATAGATTTGTAGAATTATGGCTTATTTGATACCAGTCTCTTGTTATTTTTGGTCCTTATTTTGAATTTATTATTGCCAATTATATTTTTACTCTGTGTTTTATATTATATTGTGATGTGTGAGCTACTGTGTCCAAATCATTTCCCGTGTGGATAAATAAAGTCTAAATCTAATAAATGAAAACAAGAAGGTTGCAAACCCTCCAAAAAAGTTACATCTTAAAAATAAAGAAAACATATTCAGATATTCAGATGTGCTCATGTGCCCTTTAGTGGAAAACCACAGTTTCAATTTTGATTAATGAGTTTTGTAACTCACACCACAAAAGTTTCAGTCCCACACTAACTGGTACACTCACCACTGTTTTCACAGTATATTTGTTTAATGCCATACTGTGGAACATCCAAGGCAAAGCAATAATATCACCATGGAGACAAGCTGATGGCAGATCCCCCATCAAAAAAGTTGCACAGTGCACCTTTAACAAGTGTACATAATCTACAAGAGGCTTTATTATTATTATTATTATTATTATTATTATTAGTTATAATAGTAACACATATTCCACACATATTGTATAAGTCTAGGTTTTGGATTTTGTCTGTGATATTATTTTTCTTTCTTTTTGTTATTTTAATTATTTATTTAAATGAAATACAAATGACATTAAACCTTAGACAGCAAAAGACCAAAGAAAAAGTTTTATTAGACTGTTTTAGGCTGTAGCTTTCATTTGAACAGGAAGTCTCTTTAAATCATTCATTTAATACAGAGAAATTTAAATCATTGTCTGGTACAAAGATGTGATGAATCTTCAGAGAAACAGAATGAAAATGGAGGAGGAGAGGAGCAGCAGTACCACAGCAGGACCAGAGGAGGCGCTCCCGTTACACAAATGTTTATCACAGCAGGACATGGGACTGGTACAGGCACACTGTGGAACACAGGCCTTTACGACCACTCCTGAGAAACACAAAACAACATTTTCAGTTTAGTCACAATGAGACATAAAACAAAAAAACTACAAAAAGAAACAAAGAAAGAAACAGATATAACATAAATAATGTACAGAAAGAGAAAAATGGGGGAGTGGGAGGCCACAGATTATGATTAACAATTTGTCTGTTTTTGGTTGTGAGGGAGAGGCTGCTGTACCATACAGTTATATAAAAGCAAATAAAAACAAGATCATTTCAGACGTTAAGAAAATAATAAGATACATTAATCGTAATTAATTTATTATTATTATTATTATTATTATTAGTAGTAGTAGTAGTAGTAGTAGTAGTAGTAGTAGTAGTAGTAGTATTAGTATTATTATCAGCTTCCTCTGGACTCAGTGTTTCACGTCACATATTTTATTTTCTTCCTTGTTTTAAGCCACCAACCTTCAGATGAGTGGACAAATGTCCTACTGACTGAGCTACTGTCGCTCATAGATGATGATTTGAAGGTGCTGAGAGAACTGAAACATTAAAATGAATAAACATGCAAAATATTTAGATCAGTTAGGTTTTTTTTGTGTGTTTTTGTGTGTGTTCATGTAAACGCAGTATCCTGATTTCAGTATCCTGAATTTAGCAGTATTACTGAACTTCGTGAGATTTTTATTTTCATTTTTCATTTATTTTGAGCAGGTCAGTGAATGCATGAAGAAAGTAATTATATGTATGTAGTACGCTTAGTGGTATTAACAAAATGACTGAGTGTATTCAGAATACTTCGAATACTTTTACACATGATTATATATTATTAATGCAAAAGCATGACACATGATTACAAACAGTTTTTTGTTTGTGTGTTTGATTACAGAACATATATTCCACACACCTTAAGTCTTGGTTTTGTATTTTGTCTGTGATATTGTTTTTCTTTTCTTTTTTCTCAAACCCATGTAATTTTATAGTTATTTGATTTTTTTTTCATTGCATTTAAATGAAATACAAATTACATTAAACCTTAGATGGCAAAAGACCAAAACAAAAGTTTTATTAGACTGTTTTAGGCTGTAGCTTTCATTTGAACAGGAAGTCTCATTAAATCATTCATTTAATACAGAGACATTTAAAACATCGTCTGTTACAAAGATGTGATGAATCTTCAGAGAAACAGAGTGAAAATGGAGGAGGAGAGGAGCAGCAGTACCACAGCAGGACCAGAGGAGGCGCTCCCATTACACAAGTCTCCCTCACAGCAGGAGATGTGAACTTCTGCATTACTGACACAGTCAGATTTGCGAATACAGGCCTTTTGGGACACTCCTGAGAAACACAAAACAACATTTTCTGTTTAGTCACAATGAGAAAGTTCATTAAAAAAAACAAACTGAAAAACTACAAAAAAAAAAAAAAAAAAAAACTACAAGAAAGAAAAAAAGAGAGAGAGAGAATACAAATAATATACAGAAGAGAAAAACAGGGGGAGTGGGAGGTCACAATAGTCCAACAGTCACCCAGATGACAAAAGTTCAAACTGCACCCTGAGAAATGTTCAAATTGATTCAATAAAAGCAAAATAAAACAAGATAATTTCAGATGTTAAAAAATAGGAAGATACATTAATCCTAATGAATTTACTTACAAACTTACAAATACATCTCCTCTTACTCTAATATAAATGTATACATCAAGACATAAAGTTGATAAAATCAGATCTTATATCAGGTATTACTGAAGAGTTTAGAAACCAAATAAAGTTTTTGGTTCTTTGTATTTTTACCTTGACTTACACCAGAATAGCATCGATCGAATGATGGGTCTGATCCACAGTCCATGATATTATTGCACTTATCACAGCCAAAGCAATAGTAGCATTTTAGTGAGTATGCTGCAAAGGGAAAAATACACAGTAAGTCAATTCACACAATATTTACAAAATAAATTTGAACTTTTAATTACATCACTTTTCTAAAGAACTAAAATCAATGAGCTGCCTAAATCAAGACTATGTTTGGACTTAATCGAATAAAAATAAATTGGATCTGAAAAACTACATAACATTCAAGACATTTTGAGAACTATGAAAGTTGACTGGTCCTGCACAGTTAAATACAAAAATGTTATCACAAATATATATATGTTTTTTTGTGCAGCAAAAGCTTTTAATGTAAGAAATATAAAATCAGTTTAATAAAAACTGCCTTTAGAATCTGAATTTGCTTTATTACCACTGGCAGTTTCCACAAAATGCAGTCAGTTCAATTAAGTATTTTTCTATTTAGCCTAAATCTGCAAAATAATAATAAATAAATAAATCCTTCCATAAACTCATTTCTCACCAGTTGACAGACCCACGAGCAGAAGAAAGGCTTTGACAAACATGTCAGACCACAGGGTGATGTTGGTTTTGCAGAGGTGAGAGTAGAAAGTCTCCTCCGATCATCTGAAACACTCTTTTTATCTCCTCAACTTCCTCTGGACTCAGTGTTTCAGGTCACATATTTTATTTTCTTCCTTGTTTTAAACTGCCAACCTTCAGATGAGTGGACAAATGTCCTACCGACTGAGCTACTGTCGCACATAGATGATGATTTGAAGGTGCTGAGAGAACTGAAACATTAAAATGAATAAACATTTAAAATATTTAGATCAGTTAGGTTTTTTGTGTGTTTTTGTGTGTGTTCATGTAAACACAGTATCCTGATTTCAGTGTCCTGAATTTGGCAGTATTGCTGAACTTTGTGAGATTTTTATTCAAAATTTAAAATTGATTTTGAGCAGGTCAGTGAACACATGAAGAAAGTAACTATATGTAACTTCTTTACTTACTTATTGCTGTTGTAGTTGAAGCAGTTTGACGTGGGCGATGTGGAGAGCCTGGTGGGGCGATATTCCCACGTGGAGCATGGGATCCAGATGGACGGCAGAGCGTTTCTGTGTCAGTTTTACAGCGAGAAAAGCCTCCACAGACGACTGGCCATGATCCGACAGGCGCGGAAAGGAGGAGCCGTCACCCCCGAGACCTACACCCACCTCCAACCATTCATACAAGAGGGACGGGTGCAACTCAGGACCTACTGTGAGGTGAGACCAGAGACTGTGTAAAGACGTGGACTGAGGGAGTGCGACTCATAGTGTTCGACTCCAGTCAAATGAGGTTCACTGAGGCTTGCAGTGATCGGAGTGAATTTGGATACGAGTTTCATATTAGACAAAACAGCAAAATAAAAACACCAGGATCATGTAGAGCGGGATAATAGTTAATAATTTTAAGACCAAAAATGAGGAGTCTTACAACAGCAGTTATGGAGAGAGGGGGGTCATTCCACGCCAAATCTCCAAATGCCCCCGCCCGACCATCTCAGATTTGACTGAAAAAATTCCAGGAGGTTCACACACTTTCCAGTAGAAAAAGTCCCAAATTTTAGCTCCCAGTTACTTATAGTTTTGTCATAAAAAAAATAATTTTGTCAACTCTCCCCTGACCTGTTTTGAGCAGAGTTGTCCAAGGAGACACTTTCAGATTGTTGTATCTAAGAAAATATTTAAGGTAGGTTTAAGCTGTGATAAAGTGATATGGTTCAAAAGACTTGAAAAGATCGGCTTTGTCAACAGACGCATCCCACTGGGAAAACAAACATGGCGATTTGATGCTCACTGTTTCAGAAAATCCTTCCCAGTATGCAATTGCGCAATGATCGGAAGTCCGAGATTCTTGATGCATCTATAGGAGTAGCAGATACTGGCACACAATTCTCAAGCGCCCTCTCGTGGCTGTCAGTGTGAAAATTTTAATATGTAAGTCACACCAGAGTATAAGTAGCAGGACCACCCAAACCATGAAAAAAGTGCACCTTAAAGTCCAGAAAATACGGTACTCAAAAATAGTATTCTGAGTTGCATATATATTTTTTGGTATTTAGTTACTTCTCAGCACATCTCAACTCTGTACATGTCCGTTTCATTCTTTCACTTTGATTCTGGACACTTCTCTTACTACTATTCTAGTTCTCCTTCCTAAACATCTAACATGAGCTCTTGGTTTTCTGCAGGTGAATGAAGCCAGATGGTGCTACAGAACCCAGGCGTGGTCCCTCTCTCTCACCACCGGGGGGCAGTGGAGCAGTGATGTGATCTGGCTCGCTACAGGCTGCAAACTGGACGCCAAGCAAGACCCTCTGCTGTCTGAAGTCATCAAAGAGTTTCCTATTCAGGTCAGGGATGAAAAATAACGCCAATGTGAATTAAATACAGTAAAAAAAAATATATTATACTTACATTTTATTCTCAGCATTTCATTCTTTCTATCAACGATTTTGAATTTTAACACATTTGGTAAATAGTGAAGTGTTATTATATTTGTGGCAGTGTAATTAAAGGTGCATTATGTAACTTTTCTAGTGGGGTCTGTCATCAGGAGATATTATTGCTTTGTCTTGAATGTTCCACAGAATCACTTTAGACTTATATCTTGCATTTATTTGATTTGATTGCTAAAAAACTTGGTTTGGAGTCTGATGTAATGATCAAATGTTTCCAGAAGATGGCAGCACAGGAGCAGGACAGAGTTGAGTCCTAGTAGAGTTGAATCTGTCCTGTTTTTTTCACTCAAATGAACAAAATGTGAATTTAAAGGAGTGACACAAACATTATTATAAAATCTAAGAATATAAAGTCTTTGTTCATTTCTCTTTCCTCACTTCCTTCACCTTGATTCGTCTCCACAGAAGGAAGGAGTAAATCTGAGGGAGACTTCAGGCGCAGACATCAGATAAAATAATCAAACTTTACTGGTCTCAGTCAGGAGTTTATATCCTCTCTCCTTATTTATTTATTTATTTTATTCATAAAGTATAAAATAACAGATAATAGACAATAAAGTCTAAATCTAATAAATGAAGACAAGAAGGTTGCAGACCCTCCAAAAAATGTACATCTTTAAAAATAAAGAAAACATATTCAGATATTCAGATGTGCTCATGTGCCCTTTAGTGGAAAACCACAGTTTCAGTTTTGATTGTTGTTGTTTTTTTCTCACACCACAAAAGCTTCAGTCCCACACTAACGGCTACACTCACCACTGTTTTCACCACACCACTTACACAGACACTTTACTTTCAAAGTTCAGTTTATTTTGTATTAATCTTTTTTACTTTTATAAGAATCCCACTGCTCAGTCCCCAGAAAACAACATGGTACCTACAAGACAACTTTTAAATAAAATAGGTTAATGAAGATCTTTAAAAGTTTTTCCTAGTTTGATCATTTCACTGAAGCTGTTCACTTCCCTACTTGTATTTATTTTTTAATATTACCTTTATATTATGACATATTATTCTGTTGTATCCAGCATCTATAATCATAGATAATAGACAGACCATTAAAGCTTTATATTAAGACTTTAGTGCATCAAAGGTGTTGCACAAAATGAGTTCACTCTGCTCCTTTATGAGTTATGGGATTTCTAAAATAATTTCTTCAGAGGTTATCTTTCCTTTTTACACTTATTTATGCAGAACAATAAAAACACAGACAATATTTAAGTTAGGAGTAATTTCAAATTACATTTTTGGGAGAAAATGATCTGCTCTATATCGACATATGATTATATATTATTAATGTATAATCATGACACATAATTATAAACAGTTTTATTTGTTTCTGTATTTACATAATAATTTATGTTTGATTACAGAACATATATTCCACACACCTTAAGTCTTGGTTTTGTATTTTGTCTATGATATTGTTTTTCTTTTCTTTTTTCTCAAACCCATGTAATTTTATAGTTATTTGATTTTTTTTTTTTTTTTTTTTTTTTTTTCATTGCATTTAAATGAAATACAAATGACATTAAACCTTAGATGCCAATAGACCAAAACAAAAGTTTTATTAGACTGTATTAGGCTGTATCTTTCATTTGAACAGGAAGTCTCATTAAGTCATTCATTTAATACAGAGAAATTTAAATCATCGTCTGTTACAAAGATGTGATGAATCTTCAGAGAAACAGAGTGAAAATGGAGGAGGAGAGGAGCAGCAGTACCACAGCAGGACCAGAGGAGGCGCTCCCATTACACAAGTCTCCCTCACAGCAGGACATGGGACTGGTACAGGCAGACTGGGGAACACAGGCCTTTACGATCAGTCCTGAGAAACACAAAACCACATTTTCAGTTTAGTCACAATGAAATAATTGATAAAACTAAAAAAAAAAAACTAAAAAAGAAAGAAAGAAAGAAACAAACAAACAAACAGTTACAACATAAATACTATACAGAAAGAGAAAAATGGGGGAGTGGGTGGTCACAGATTATGACCAGATGAACAATTTGTCTGTTTTTGTTTGTGAGGGAGAAGCTGCTGTACCATATAGTTATATAAAAGCAAATAAAAACAAGATAATTTCAGACGTTAAAAAATAAGAAGAAGATACATTAATCCTAATTCATTTAAAACATCTTTCCTTATTACAGGAGACCAATCAAAACAAAACTTACAAATATATCTCCTCTTACACTGATATAAATGTATACATCAAGATATAAAGTTGATAAAAACAGATCTTATGTCAGGTATTATTGAAAGGTTTAGAATTTTTCTCATTACCATCTTTTTCTCCACTAGCACATCGATCGGCTGAGGGCACTGATCCACAGTCCATGGTTTTAGTGCAGTCACTGTCTTTGCCAATGCAAACGTAGCATTTTAGTGAGTATACTGCAAAGGGAAAAATATGCCGTAAGCAAATTCACAAAATATTCACTAAATATTTGAACTTTAAATGACATGTCTAAAGAACTAAAATCAATGAGCTGCCTAAATCAAGACTATGTTTGGACTTAATCGAACAAAAATAAATTGGATCTGAAAAACTACATAACGCACATGACATTTTGAGAACTATGAAAGTTGACTGGTCCTGCACAGTTTATCAACAAAAATGTTTTTTGTGCAGCAAAAGCTTTTTAATTTAAAAATATACAGTCAGAATCTGAATTTTGCTTTAGGCAGTTTCCAGCAATCAGACCCTAAATCGAGCAGAAGAAAAGGCTTTGACAAACATGTCAGACCACAGGGTGATGTTGATTTTGCAGAGGTGAGAGTAGAAAGTCTCCTCCGATCATCTGAAACACTCTTTTTATGTTCTCAGCTTCCTCTGGACTCAGTGTTTCACGTCACATGCTTCATTTTCTTCATTTTAGCGCTTTTAAGGAACCACTCTCCCTCTTTATTGTCCACACATTCATACACCAGTGCACACAGACACTGAGAGGTGGGTTAAGTGTCTTACCCAAGGACACAATGAGAGTATTTATCTCTGACAACTCAACCAATGATTTTGACATCGAGAGCAGGATTCAAACCACCAACCTTCAGATGAGTGGACAAATGTCCTACTGACTGAGCTACTGTCGCACATAGATGATGATTGAGAGAGAACTGAAACATTAAATG